TTCAAATGGAAGAGTAAAAAAACAGAGTCAGAATGCAAAGTTCAAGTCCTAGTACCAGCAGACACACACACACATACACACACACACAAGCTAAGTGGTTGTAGGTAGCATATTATGTATACTAGATACATGATATGCCTATTATACTATACTGTATAGTGTATGTGTGTGCGCATATGAATCAACACACACATAATCATTCTTAATTTGTATTTGACTTTTAAGCTAAAAATTAAGTATCTCTGTGCTAAAGGCTAGTGCTCTACCACTTAAGCCACAGCACTATTTCCAGCTTTCTCTGTTATGTGCTATTGGGGAATTATACCCAGGGTTTCATGAATGCTAGGCAAACACTCTATAAGCACATCCCCAGTTCCCAAAACTTGATTTTTTTTTTTTTTTTGGTTGGTTGTGGGGCTTGAACTCTGGGCCTGGGTGCTGTCCGTCTTCAACCTAGGACAAGCACCCTACCACTTGAGCTACAGCACCATTTCCAGTTTCCTGGTGGTTTATTGGAGATGAGTCTCATGCCCAGGCTGGCTTTGAACCGAGATGCTCAGATCTCAGCCTCTTGAGTAGCTAGGATTCCAGGAGTGAGCCACCAGTGACTGGCTCAAAACCTGAATTTTTTTACAAAAAAAAAAAAAAAAAATTTTAGGGGCTGGGGAAGTTGGCTCAGTGGTATAGCGCTTGCCTTGCATGCATGAGGCCCTGGGTTCGATTCCACAGTACCATATAAGCAAAAAGAAAAAAGCCGGAAGTGACGCTGTGGCTCAAGTGGTAGAGCGCTAGTCTTGAGCTGAAGAGCTGAGGAACAGTGCCCAGGCCCAGAGTTTAGGCTCCATGACTGGACCCCCCCCCCCAAAAAAAAAAAAAACCCAAACAAAACAATTTTATTGTTACAAAGGAAAATTTAAAAACAGTTCAAAAACAATTTTTTTGGAATTTCGGTAACTATTATTTTACATGATCAGAGGCACATAGGCATTGTGCCTTTGTGTTCCTCCCACCCCCCCCCCCCCCCTTCCCCGAGGATCCTCCTTTAGTCTCACTGTGTGTGAAGGCCTAGGCTACAATTTTCAAAAGAAAATTAAAATTACTAATAGAAATGGAAACCTATGGAATGATTAGCTTCTGATACTTTAGTTTACAAATAAGTAATTTTTCTTGGTAGACAAGTTTTTTCAATTACCTTAATATAACAAGTGAAACTTGCTATCTTAAAATCATTCTCCAGATACACTTCACAGTAAGTAGCAACACATCCACAGATAGTAGTACTTACCTCACATCAGGTATAAAAATGTTGAGATGTGCAAGCAGAGCAAGATAAATAAAATGAAGGGGGGAATAGATGGACTCTAACTGCAGTCCAGGCCAATCACAACAGGAATATAAAACTCTTAAGGCTGGTTGAGTTTCTAGGAGCACTGCAGATCTGCTCACCAGTGAAGGAATGATAATTTCAGGTGACAAAAAGAAATAATTTTTTGTTGTTGTTGTTGGTCATAGGGCCACTTCTGTTTTTTTTTAGTAGTTAATGGAGGTAGGAGTCTGACAGACTTTCCTACTTGCGCTGACTGAACCATGATCCTCAGATCTCAGCCTCCTGAATAGCTAGCTAGGTTTACAGGAATAGGCCACTGGTGCCTGGTTATATTTTATTTTTTAATTAACAAAGTCTTTATTAAACAGATGGTTTACAAAAGTCAGGCATAGTGCATTTCCTTTTAGACTATGTCACCCTTTCCCTTGCTTTCTCCCAGTTTTTCACTCTCACCACACACATAAGTTGTATAGTTTATTTTCAAGATAGTTTCCAGGCTGGCCTCCTTCTAAGTCTCTGCCTCCCAAGTAGCTGTGATTAGTGATGTGAGCCATGGTATCCAGCCACCAATTACTTGTTAAACATTTACTTATTATTGGTAGTGGGGCTTGAAATCTGGGCCTGGATGCTGTCCTTCAGGTCTTCAGCTCAAGGCTAGCGCTTTACCTCTTAAGCCACAGCACCACTTCCGGTTTTCTTGTGGTTTATTGGAGAGAAGAGTCTCATGGACTTTCCTGCCTGAGCTGGCTTTGAACCTCCATCCTCAGATCTCAGCCTCCTGACTAGCTAGGATTACAGGCATGAGCCACTGGTCCCCGGCTTTGTTAAACATTTATGATGTACCAGATTTAAGGTGCTAGGACAAGATTGGCATTGCCAGTATGCAATTAGTGTTATCAATTACATGGCCACCAGATGCTGACACCAGACACACACATTTTGTGTGTGTGTATGTGTGTGTATCTACACACTCACAAATTAGCACTACCATTTAGCAAAAAAGCTCAGGGACAGCAATCAAGGCCCTGGGTTCAAGTCCCACGACTGACCAAAAAAAAAGTAGAATAAAAACATTACATGAGAGGCAGAAATAGGTTAAGGATAACAAGACACCCCCTTTCTCAAAACCCAAAAGGCTTGGAGCTTAGCTCAAGTGGTACAATGCTTGCCTAGCATTGATGAGGCTCTGGATTCAATCCCCAGTACTTTAGGGAAAAAATTAAGAACAGCTGAGTTAGTTTTGTACAGCACTTCCACTCATAGCAACAAAAAAAATACATGGCTATGTAAACTATAAATTGTGACATTTCAGTGATTCTGCATCTAAATGTTTTTAAAGTTGTATTTAAAAGTACTGTACAATATAAAGAAAAGAATGGCAAAGCATGCTGATAATTTTGCTTTAAATTTGTTTACTTGCAATGGTATACAACAACCAATTTCTCCTTTACTTTTTTTTGTTGTTGTTGGTCGTGGGGCTTGAACTCTGGGCTCAAGAGCTGTCCCTCAGCTCTTCAGCTCAAGGCGAGCACTCTACCACTTGAGCTATGGTGCCACTTCCTACAACAACCAATTTTAAGACACCTAAGGCTTCCCTCTCCCTTCTTGGCCTGATCATTCCACCTAAAGATGGAATATGAAGGACTGACTCCCCCCACCCTATTGTCCCAGGAACATTGGGACACCAGGTAAAATCCCAGGTAAATGTGTACTTGTTTGATGTGCTGGCAGGGCAATCGTCTTAAGCCCAGCTGTAAACATCCTATTGTGGTTCCATTTGATAAGCCCCCACCTTCCTTGACCTAGTGGATTTTTCCTTAACCTGTCTCCTTGCTCAGACCTCATATAAAAACCTGTCCCAACTCTCTCACACAACACCCAAAACCTCCAAAACCGTGGGAAGGTCTGTGCCTCTGGCTGTTCTTCAATTAGCACTCCTCGTCTGTTGATTGTAAGTCCAGCCTATTCCTTTTCCTTTTTCATCCATTTTCCCAACAAAGGCAAAACCAGAGCATTTCCACGGGGGAGCTTTTAGAGTATTTTAGCATGTTTTGTATTGGGGACAAGTTCTGGCTATGGAATGCAGACCACCAAATGGGATCCTCAAGTGTCTGGATATGCATGCACCACTACACCAGCTATTTTAGCGTCTACAATGACACGTCTCTTTTTCTCCAGCAAGGGGTTTGCATTTTCAGTTTGTGCTGTGCCTGTTCACTCATGAAGGTGAATGTGACAGTTTGTGAGACAAGCAACTGGAGCACATAGTAACTTCAGACTGATAGAGGTGCCTACAAGGTCAGACTAAAAACATTTTTTTGCCCTAATTTGGATTTGAATCCAGAGCTTGGCTGGTTCCCTCGCCACTGGCATTCTATTGGAGCCGTCTCAGCTTCTGCTGGAGATGAGTCTTTCAGACTTCTCTGCAGTGTGGCCTTGAAGCCTGATTCTCCAGGTTTCAGCTGCCCGTGGCTAGGAGTATAGGTGTGAGCCACCGGACCCCGGCTCTTCTTTTCACTTTTAAAAATAAAACCTTTTAGAACTGTAGAAAAGTTAGCTAGGGTTACAGGTGTGAGCTCCCGAAGTCTGGCAGGACGAGGATCAGACTTAGTCTGGAATTGTTCTATCAAAGATTTCTTCCGTGGGCTGAGAAGGTGGCTCAGTGGTAGAGCGCTTGCCTTGCATGCTCAAGGCCCTGGGTTCGATTCCTCAGCACCACATAAGCAAAAAGAAAAAAGCCGGAAGTGGCGCTGTGGCTCAAGTGGTAGAGCGCTAGCCTTGAGCTGAAGAGCTGAGGGACAGTGCCCAGGCCCAGAGTTCAGGCCCCACGACCGGGCCCCCCCCCCCAAAAAAAAATGAAAATACAAAGGTTTCTTCCGTTTTTAAACAACAAAATCTACTTTTTTGGGGAAAAAAAAAAAGGCTACTTCACAGAGTACGAGCGTCCAAGGCAGAGGCCGGTCCCGGAGGCACAGGGTCCCCGGCTGCTTCAAGGCTCCGCCTGACATGGGCTCGCAGGAGACCCCACGGCACACCTGCCGCGCCCGACCCGCAAAGTCTTACTACCGGAAAGCGCGTGCTCCCGAGACCTCGCCGCGCCGGGCGGGGAGGCCTGCGGGCGCCGGCCGGCAACCCCACGTCTGCGCCCGACGCGCAAAGCTTACCTACCGGACAGCGCGAGCTCCCGAAACCTCGCTGCGCCGGGCGGGGAAGCCTGGGGGCGCCAGCCGGCAACACAGGGCGGGGAGGCCTGAGGGGGCCAGCCGGCAACGACGTCCGGCGGCGGCCTCCGTGTCCCGCCCCTCCGTGGCCCCCATCCCTCCGTCCCCCGCAGCGGCGCTCCCGCTCCGCCCCTCCGTCTCCGGCCACGCCGGCCTCCACGCCCCCTGGCCCCCCGCCCCTCGGCCTCTTCCCCGCTCTCCGTCCTCCCGCGCCGCCCCACGCTAGGCTCCGCTGCCCCTCCCTCCGCGTCCTCCCGCGCCCTCCGCCCCACCCCTCTGTTCCCCGCGCCAACCCCGCGGCCTCTCCCCTCCAGGCCACGCCCCACCACCCCTCGAGCCGCCCCGCCTATTTCCTCCCCCGCCCCCGCCCCCCCCCCCCCCCCCGCGCTGCCCTCCCGCGGAGTCCTTTAGGGGCTTCCGGGTTGCGTCTCCTCCCACCTCTCGCTGTGCTGTGTTGCCGCGAGACTTCGACGCGAGTCTTAACTGCGGCTGGGGGCCCGGCGCGTTCTTTCCGCCGCGCGGCTGAGGAGGTAGCTACTGCGCCGTGTGCAGAGCGGGGTGTGGGGCACGGCGCGGCTGAGGAGGTCGAGGCCCTGTGCAGAGCGGGGTGTGGGGGACCTCGCGGTGGCCGGGGGCTCGGGCTGCAGCCCGCGTGGAGCTCAGCGCGCGCAGGCGGCGCGCTCGGGCAGCATCGGCCGGGGCCCGCGTGGAGGACGAGGCGCGCCGCGGCTCCGCCCTGTCTCGGCGCCGCGCAGGACGGACAGCGTGGGCCCTCGGTGGAGCCGTTGAGTTGGGGTTGAAGTGCGTGTGCCGCCGGCGCTCCGGGATCCAATCCTGCCGGCGACCGACACTGCGCCATCTTAACCTGCGCTATGCCCTCAGCTCGGTAACGAGACGCTGCCGGCCACGCAGCCTGCGCCCGCAGCAGGCCCGCCTTGGGACCGACGCCGGGCCTGCGCGCGCCCCCGGGCCCAAGGTGCTCCAGCTATATCGGTTACATTCCTCCTGGCTTTGTTTTTGTTTTTCTGTCGGTCGTGGGTCTTGAACTCTGGGTTTGGGCGCTGTCCCTCAGCTCTTCAGCTTCAGGCGAGCTCTCTACCTCCTGAGCCACTTCCGGTTTTCTGGTGGTTTATTGGAGATCAGAGTCTCAGGGACTTTGTGTCTGCCTGGCCTAGCTTTGAACCGCGATCCTCAAATCTCAGCCTCCTCAGTAGCTAGTATGGCAGGCGCGAGCCACCCGGCATCTGGCTGGGGAGGGGGATGTTTAGCCTAAGCACAGCCTTGAGCAAATAAGCTGAGGGGGACAGAATCCAAGCCTTGGAACCAGCACTCACCAGAAAGGACAAAAAAAAAATTACTGTCCCGGCCATTTTTCTGTATTTGGAGTACTTTATTTTAGGACTTGTTACTATTTAGATGGCATGCTTCATGTATAAGAGAATTGTAATAGTGAAATAAGTAGTTAACACAAAGTAAGCATATCGTCTTAGTTTGTGGACAAAACAGTATCCATAAAAGCAAGGATAGTTCTGGTAAATCCCACACCAGGAATATAAATACATAATTTCCTTGGGCATTGGAAACTCCTTTTTGTCTACTAATATACATTATTGTATTAATGATTTTGTTACTGTGGCTGATGAAGCTTTGAATATATGAAGAGAGTAAAAGTGAAAAGAGCCTGGAAATATAGCATTTATTTTTCTGAGACTGGACTTGAACTCGTGACACTTCCAACCCCAGAATGCAACTTCCTGGTTTACAGAAATGAAATAGGCTCTAGATTTTAGATGATTGGGTGTGTTTGCATTTATTCTGTGGAGCTATATTACATTAACTGAAATTTGTAATTGTAGAAAACTTGAAGACAAATGGATTCTGCTGACTGCATGTCATCTGACAGAGCTATGGAAATTGAAAATGAAAGGTAAATGGATTTTTATGAGAGACATGACTGACTAGTCAAAATACTTAGGGTATTTGGTTACCAGGAGATAAGTTCATTGACTTAAGAAAGCACTGACTTGTTTGTATAGTTTGAGTTATTGAAAAAACATTCTATTACTGAGTAAATTACCCCAGTTTTGTGTAGTGCACTGGTTAGGGATTGCTGTAGACCACTGGAGCATATAGTTTCACAAAATGAAGATATGTTTTTTACCAGAGGTGGTGTGTCAATTTTAGATATGATGGTTAGGACACTGGCTGATCTCTACCCTGTTCTAAAGTTTTTTTGTTTTTTTTTTTAAATTTAATTTTTTTTTTGTGAACATACTGTACAAAGGGGTTACAATTACATGGGCAGGATAATGCATACATTTCTTATCAAGCATTGCAGCCTCCTCTTTTGTTTACCCTTCACATCCCTTCCCTACCTCCCCACCACCCAATCCTCCCCCCTGTTCTAAAGTTTTATTGTTACTGATGTAAGAATAAATACTTTTAATTTTTGGCAGTCATTTCTGGTGGTTAATTGGAGATAAGTACATGGACTTTCTTTCCCGTGCTGGCATTGAACCATGATCCTCAGATCTCAGCCTCCTTAGTAGCTAGGATTACAGGTGTGAGCCACCAGTTTCCAGCTAGGCGTTTTATATATAAGTCTGGAAGAAATGTACATTTTGCTACATTATAATTGGTCATTCACTGTTTTTTTTTGTTAATAGTGAGGACTCTTCATCTGGTAGCAGTTTATTTAAAACACAATGTGTTCCTTTCTCACCTAAACGGAGGCAAAAAACAGACTTTATCAGAAAATCTATTCCTACTCAATCATTTGAAAGTGTTGAAACAGATTCATCAAGTGACTCATCTATAGAACCAAGACCATTGACTTTAAAAGCCATTTTTGAAAGATTCAAGCAAAAGAAACGGAAACGTAAAAAGAAGAAATATAAACGAAAATTAGGACCCAGGGGAAGACCAAAAGGCAGAAGAAGCACTAGAAGGTCCCACATAGATAAGAAACAAATTAAAGACAAAGGATCAAGGTTTCTATTTTTACAGACAGAGAGTGGAAAAAAAACATTGCCATGGAGGAAAATTTTAACCTTTGAGGTAGGTATTTATTTGTTGATGTGCATAGATTTAAAAATGGAGGACTGGTAATGTTCCATAGTGGTTACAGTGCTTGCCTAGCATGTATGAAGCCCCAGGTTCAACTCTTCCATACCACATAAGAAAAGGCTAGAAGTGGCCCTGTGGCTCAAGTGGTAGGGTGCTATCCTTGATCAAAAGAAGCCCAAGGACAGTGCCCAGGCCCTGGGTTCTTACTCCCAGGGCTGGCCAAAACAAAAATACTCAGAATTGTCCTAATGTATCCCTGGAAGTCTGGCACTAGTGGTTCACACCTGCAACCCTAACTACTCTGAGGATTTAAGTTTCAGTCTACCTCAGGCAGAAGTCTGAAGTTAATCAGCAAAGCAAAAAGTTGGATGTGGGCTGTGCTTCCAGTGGTAGACCACCACCCTTTGGTGAAAAAGCACAAGGCCAAGAGTTCAAGCCCAATTTAATCCATACCAAAAGAAATACACTTGGAATAGAGCCTGAAATACTTGAAAAATATTAGCATGCATTTGTTATACAAAGGGAGGTTTCACATGGCACATCTACTCCTATATACTGTTAATATCCATCAGAACCATTCCAGGGAACTATGCCCAAGCAGACAGGCACAGGAGAAAGATTATAAGGTTTATTAGAGGGGTCGTATATCCCCCACGAGAGGGAGTAATATGGCATCTGGGCCCCCCCCCCCCATCCAGGTGGGTAGCTCTGGGTCAAGTTGCATACACAGGTTGATCTAGATGGGATAGGGGGTGGCCAGCTATCGAGCAGGAACTCTAGGGCAGGGAGGAGCTCAGGTCTGGGTGGAGCTGTGGACTACAGTGAGGATAATGTTAACATACACAATAAAACCAATAGCACCCATTGCATCAAATCCCATTAAAACTATTTGGGCTTTTTCAACTGGTTTTATTTTCATATAGGCAGACAAACTACTATGACTATTGATCCTTATTTACCCCTCTTACCAGCTCTACTCACCACAGAGCCTGTTTAATATTCCTGTCATGAAACATGAAATTTTTGTGAAAGCAAAATTATGCTTAATTTTTGAGCAGGGTAATAGTGGCTAATTCCTGTAATCATAACTACTCAGGAGGATGAGATCTAAGGATCCAGGTTCAAAGCCAGCCTGGGCAGATCAGTCTCCTTGAGACTGCAACTAACCACTCAAAACCTCAAGTGGCTTTGTGGTACAGGTAGTAGAGGATTATCCTTGAGCAAAAGAGCTCCAGCGTGCAGGTTCTGAGTGAAGGCTCCATGACCGACAACAAAAGGTGTCCATTTCCCTGCCCTTTAACCTCATATTGGTTGGTTGCTTTCATTGAGATCCCTTATGCTGTATTCAGATTATTTGCAGTATATTTTGAAAATACTCCTTTGTTTCCATCCATCCCTTTTTCAATGATTTTGTATGATTTATCCAGTTGCCACGCCTCCCCCCCATCCCTCCCCAGGCATGAAGTCAGGTCTGCCTGCGCACTGTGAGCTTTTGTTGCTTGAGGCTAGTGCACTCTCATTTGTACCACTTACTGGGCTTTTTAGTGGTTAATGGAAGATGGGAGACAGCTTTACTGTTTACTGCTTTGATCTCCAGTCAGCCAAGATGGGAATTAGAGGCATGTGCCACCTAAGCCAGGATGATGAATCTGTTTTATACTAGTTTCTGTGTAAAGCACATCTCTAAGCTGAACACTTGGATTTCAGGGTGGAATCGTAGCATATTCAGTGAAAATTTAGATGTTGCATGTTAGACTAAAACAATGAACTTTGGGCTTGGGTACTGTCCATGAGCTTCAGCTCCAGGTTGGTATTCTACCACTGGAGCCACAGAGCGACACTTCATGGCTATTTTGTTTACATACGGTACTGAAGAATAAAACCCAGGGCCTTCATGCATGCTAGGTAAGCATTCTACCACTGAGGCACATTCCCAGTCCTTGTCTCTTGTTTTAAAATACAACCTGTAAATACAGGTTTTGCCTATTTGCAGTAATTCAAATGAAACCCATTCATTCAAATACTTGAATGATAATTAGTCCCTTTCCAGAACCGATGATTTTCCCCCCTTCCCCCAAGAGAAACAATACAGGATTCATTATAAGGAACAATGCAGAGTCCAGAAATGGGGATTGGTTAAAGTCCAGATGGTCCACATTTTATAGGTACCTATTTTACCTGATGATTATGAAGGAAAACATCTAAACTTACTACACTAAAGAACAAAATGTTTTTACAGCAAGCTGTTGCAAGAGGATTTTTTAACCACATTGAGAAACTAAAGTATGAACACCACCTTAAGGAATCATTGAAACAAATGAATGTTGGTGAAGATTTAGAAAAGGAAGATCTGGATAGTCGTAGATACAAATACTTGGATGATGATGGATCCATTTCTCCTATTGAAGAGTTGTAAGTTGAGTCATGTTAAATAACTATGCTAATAGGTTTGACCCACAGTGTTTTTAATACTCAGTAAATGCTGGAATAAGTTGTAGTTAGAATTGTATTTGAGCTTGAGCTCAACTATTGGAGTGTTAAACAGAATAGTTTTTCTTTTTCCCCCATCACTAGTACTGCTTTATCAAGAGTATATAACTGATTAACAAAGACTTCATTTTTTAAGGTATGCATCTTTTTGTTACAGAGGTGAAGAGGAGACTGCACACCTTGAACATGATTGTGATATCCAGATGGTAGTAAGTGTTTTACCTCGTTTGGGGAAGTTAGGAGCTGGTACAGCAGTTTTGGTACATACCATTTAAATTTGAAAGGCTCAGTAAATTTAATGCAGGAAACAAGAAATATTTGAGATATGTGACAAAGATAATATGGACACTTATATTTGCATTGCTGGGGATCAAACATTGTCTTAAAGCAAGCATTCTGCCACTGAGCTGTGACCTGGGCTGAAAGGATTTCTATGAACTTTTAAATTTGGGGTATTAATAGTAAAATGAGAAAATATGTAGACAATTTGGAATTTTGCACCTGGATATAGCTTACATTCCCCCCCCCCCCCCCCCAAGAAATGGCATTAAGACACATAGATTATCTGCATAGTTACACTGAAATTTTTTTTTTTTATGTAGGAGCACAGTCGTTTCATAATAAGTTCTAAATTCCCAAAGAAAAGAAAGGTGGATTTAGAACAAGAAAATAATGAAGTTGCATTGTCTAAGAAGAGAACTTCTAAGAACACAAAAAGGGTAAAGAGGACAGATTGGCCTGAAAAGGAGGTAAACGATATACAGCAAGAATGACTTTCAATAGGAAGGTTAAATGTGAATGTATGAACCAGTTTTCGATGAAGAATTTTTGAATCAAGAACATCCAAAGGAGAAGAATAGGAACATCTGAAGTGTATACAAGGAGAACAAAATGGTTAAAAAGGAAACGCTGAGGAAAGGGTGGGGTATTGTTCTCCGAGTTATAGTCTTGCTGTTTTGTTTTTTTTTTTTTTTTGGTCAGGTGGTGGGGCCTGAACTCTGGGCCTGGGCGCTGTCCCTCAGCTCTTCAGCTCAAGGCTAACGCTCTACCACTGGAGCCACAGCGCCAGTTCCGGCTTTTTTTCTTTTTGCTTATGTGGTGCTGAAGAATCGAACCCAGGGCCTCATCATGCATGCAAGGCAAGCACTCTACAACTGAGCCACCTTCCCAGCCATAGTCCTGTTTTTTTTTTGTTGTTGGTTGTGGGGCTTGAACTCTGGGCCTGGGCGCTGTCCCTCAGCTCTTCAGCTCAAGGCGAGTGCTCTACCACTTGAGCTACAGCGCCACTTCCATAGTCCTGTTTTTTAACACACTAATTACTGATTCCAGAGCAAGGTAATCTTACAGATGTTACTGCAACATTGAAACGATTTTAATGATGAACCCAGGGCCTCATCATGCATGCAAGGCAAGCACTCTACCACTGAGCCACCTTCCCAGCCCTAGTCCTGTTTTTTAACACTAATAACTGATTTCAGAGCAAGGTAATCTTAACAGATGTGACTGCAACATTGAAACGATTTTAATGATGAGGAAAAAAAAGTATTAAGTCATTTTTATACAGCCAACTTTTGTGGTCTTTTTGAGATATGGTGTGTAATGTAATAATAGCTCAGGCGATCCTTGAAATAACTCATCTTCATGCCTCTGTTAAAACCATAGGTGTTATTTAAAGCTGTAAGCAATTTATTGATGGAAGGTATCTGAATGTTTCAGATACCTTAGTTCAATGTTTCAGATTGTTACAAGAATTAGTTTTCCCATGAGTTGGTGATCTGACTGAAAGTCCAAGGAGCTAAGTTCAATCCTCGGCACCATAAAGATTCCTATTTTACTAACTGTAATACCTTTGCTTTCAACTACTGTAATTACAGTGTTACTAATTATGTATTGATGTATATTGGAGCACTTGTGTGTGTCTTTGTTTAATTTGTAACAAAGCCTTACAGACAGGTGCAAATAGTAAATCCTCTTTTGCAACCCAGAACTCATTGCTGATATGAGATTTTGGTACATGTAAGAAGGAATATGATTACTACAACAGTTCGAAATGTGAGGCTTTAATTCACACAGGTTGCTCTGAGAATAAAGTTGATGTAAAATCAAATTTATGCTTCTGAGACTTAGTAAACATTTAATTGTTAATGTGATAACATGAAGATGGCTTTTTTTTTAAGGCTTCTATTTTGAGAAAATGAGGTCTGGAGTTCAAGACAAATTTACTGTGAGTGGATCATATTTACAGTAAGTATAAGATTGACTAATGTGAAATATGCCTTGGGTTTCCTGTTCTAATGACAATGACAATTAGTTAATTTGATTTCATACTTAAAAATAGTGTTGGTGAGGTCTATCCCGATGGAGCATCTGTGGCAACACATCGTTGGAAACGCCTCACAGAGTAAATTTGTGGTGTGCTTTACTCACAGGACTATTCTGTCTGTGGGAAGTAACTGCAAGACACAAGACATGTATGATATGTCTGTTTATATAAAAATAGAATTATGTGAATATACAAATGTTTTAGTGTGTATACCATTATATACATTGAGATTATTTTGGTCACTTCCAGTTTTCTGGTGGTTAATTGGAGATGAGTCTCAAGGACTTTCCTGCCTGGGCTGGTTTTAAACCGTATTCCTCAGATCAGCCTCCTGAGTAGCTAGGATTACAGGTGTGAGCCGCCAGCACCTGGCTTCAGATGTTTTCTAAGTAGGTAGAATTAAAAGCATTAAGCTATCATGCCTTGCTCATATATATATATTTTAACTTAGGTATTAGAATGTCTCTGAAGTCTATACAATTCCTGACTGTGATATAGGTAAGTTTTAATTCCCAATAAATCTTTTGGTAAGAGCATTTTAGTTCTGATGATGAATGTAACTGTTCAACTGCTGCATGATACAGAATGAACTATAGCTTAATTCTGACAGAGCTAGATGTCTATTCATTCTAAATATGTAATACCTTTCAATTTCTGGAAATAGAGCGTCCTAAGCTTTTCTTTGATACTTTCTCAGGAGAAATTACTATGCTGCCAGCTTATTCATAAGAAAATTGGGTAAGTGAAGTAATTTAACTGTGTATAGAAGTACTTTACTGCCTATGCTGACTTTGAATGTTGATCCTCAGATCTCAAATCTTAGCTCCTTGAGTAGATGTGATTATTGACATGAATCACTGTGCCCTCCTATGCTTATTTTTCCTTTTTTTTTTTTTTTTTTTTGCCTGTTCTGAGGTCAAGAGCTCAGTCTCATCCTTGTTTGGTTTGCTTGTTGGGGTGGTATGCTTATCACTTGAGCCATATCCCCAGTGGGGCTTTATGATTGGAAATGGACTGCTTGGGCTGACTAAATTGCAAATGTCTGAAAGTCCTCAGGAGCCTAGGATTAAAGTGAGTCACCACAGCATCAAGGGTGCCATTTTTATAAATTTGCTTTTAGTGCCACAGTACAGGGCTTGAACTCAGGGTTAGTGTGCTGTTCATTATTAGCTTTGCAACTGGAGATAAACTACCATAAAAGCCAGATGAATTGGGGTCTCAGCGGCTTCTCTTGCCCAGGCTGGCTTCATACCACAATAGACTAGGTATATGCCATAAGCAGGTTAGGCATGTTTTGTCTTGAATACCTAGAGTCAATAAGGAGATTAAGCTGACCAGCACACTAGCCCATACCTGCAATTTCAGAGACCAGAAGATGGCAGCTTGAGACCACTCTAGAGTATAGACCTTGTTTCAAAAAAGGGTCTCTTAGCTCAAAAAAAATTGAAGCAGCAATAACCATGACATTTGTAATGTTTCATGTGGGCAGTGCTTGGCCCTTCAGGCCTAAGGTGGGGGTTGAATTCAAGGGCTTGAGTGCTGTTTCTGAGCTTTATTTTGCTCACTTGAGCCACAGTTCCAGTTCTGGCTCACAGACTTTACTCCCCAGGCTGGCTTCAAACAGCTATTCTCAACTAACTATAAGCCTCCTGACTTAGGTAGGATTACAGGCATGAATTAAAGCCCTCTTCCAGTAGGTGATACCATAGTTCAATCCTATAGTAACTCTAGTGTACTTTCTAGTTATTTGGCTTGATTAGATAAAGATGGATAGTTTGTAAGATGATAATTACATTGTTGGGCTAATAATGGTGCATAAAGTCAAATTTTCTCAGCATGATGGAAGGCGAACACAGTGTAATTATAGTTGCACTGTATGGTATCTGCACTCAGCAATACCTCCTGCTGATGTGTTCAAAGGACAGTGCAATAGAAATTCAATATCTGGCATCGTTGGTTTTCTTGGCTTTGTCCATGGTAAACCTGGTAGTTCTATTGATACAGTATATACAGTTTGACAGTTCATATTGATAATACTTTGAATAAATGATCTCAGTAAATGCTTTTCTTTCTCTAGGCAGGCAGTTAGCAGTTGAATCAAGCTGTTGGACTTAAAGTGTAAGGCTATTTCTATTCCTACCTAGCTGTTCATTTCTACCCTATAACAGACTTCATGCATATGCAGAACTTGGGAGGAACTTGCACAAGGCCTCATTCCCGATATGAATGGGCACTGTTGATCAGGGTCCAAAACTGGTTACTGAGGCTAAATTCAGACACAGGTTGTGCTTCCATCACAGTATATGCATTGCAGTGGTGACAATGAGACCTGTAACATAAGCTCATAAGTCAAGATAAAATGAGAAATGTGTTCACTCAGTATTAATAGTAATGCAAAGAATTATTCATAATGAGCTTTCTGTACTTTCTTTCTAAGATCCCAAAATTTGATTGTGGAATGACATTTCAAGGATTTTAGGTAAGAACCTTTATCTCATTAATTAGACGTGCCGGTAGCCTAATTTGTGTGATGCTATGTAAATTCACTACAGGACTAGTTAGCAATGTCATTGCAACCAAATTTGATTTTTTTTTTTTCACTTGACTTTTACTATTAGGAACAAAGGTTAATCATTCATGTTTATATGGCTTGCAGTGATGTATGATGTTATGATGATGGGCAAAAATGTTCAACTGCTCTGAATGAGCTGAATGAAGCAGCCTTTCTGAACGTCCACAGAAGGAATTTAGAACTGTTTTTAGCAGTGGTAACTTGAGATTCAAATTTCGGAGTTGAGGTGTAGTATCAGAGTAATATTTTTTTTATTCTTATGAGACAGTGTCTGGCTAAGGCTAGTGATGATCATGTCACATCCTTTGCCCAGTGCCATATGTTAGAGACCTATGTATTGAAGAATGCAGCAAGGTTAAGGGTATTTTAAGTTTTAGCCACCTAATTTTGAAAGTCCTTTTATTCACAGATGTGTCATCAGTAATTCTGTAATAGTGCAAGAAGCCCTAATAAAAGATTTGTGGCAGGTAAGTATTCTCCTAATAGCAAAGTATTTTGTTATTTGTCTAATGGTCATTACCAAGGCTGATAGAATGCAGTTTCTAATTCGCTGTGGACATGACCATAAAAAAATTCCCCACTAGGTTTTCATTGTATATGCTACATTGTTAGCAATCAGCCTATTGGGAACACTAGCTTACTAGTTTTATTCTTCTGTAGACCAGCTGTGTATGTTATTTCTGAGGGGAGCTTGTAGGAGATTGAAGACATTGATGGACATTAAGTAGAACCATGTACACCATCCAGGGGTTTAAAGAGTGCAGCAGCTCATGCTGTACATGTTTCAGTGTATTTATAAAGGCAAGGGGAGAGTGTGTTGTATTTGAAGGTACCTCCTAAGCAAATCTGTATGCCTTCATCAGGCAGAGGTGACACTCATTTCTCTGGCTCACAACAATGTTCACTGTCTAATAGTACAGAAATAAATTTTCTAATAAGATTAATATATATTAATGAGTTGGTGGTAGGGCCTGAACTCTGGGCCCTCAGCTCTTTAACTTAATGCTAGCATTCTATCACTTGAGCACAGCACCACTTCTTATGTGGTGCTGAGGAATCAAAAACCCAGTGCAAGCACTCTATCACTGAGCTACCTTCCCAAGATTTCTAATATTGTTTCTAATATTGTTAGGTGAGTTACTTTTCTGTGTTGTTATGCAGGGCTGATCAATTTCAGCTTTTTGTTGGTCATTTGAACATAGCAACTAGATTTTGGCCTCCTGAGCAGTGGTACGGCTGACTTGAATTGTTTGCTTCAAAAAGGTGTGTATATAACACAGAAGATACTATATGGTGGTCATTTCAAAGAGGGCTTGTTGGGTTTCCAAACCAAGAGCTCTTAACGCTGTGACCGAAGATAGAAGTTCTCCATAGGATGCGATAGTCACTCAATAGTAGTGCTATGTTTTCCAGAGGAGATATACTGTAATAAAATTGGAAAAAATTGGAAAAAGCAATAATCATAAATGTTCTAGATTAACCTGTATCTACTTTTCCTGCAGGGCTGCCTTAGATTAAGAGAAATTTTGAGCTTCACTTTGATGGGCACTGAAGGAATCACAACATAACGTGAAAATTATTAAATAAAAATTTATTGACTTCAAATAAAACTCCATTGTATCCTGTTTGTAGAAAGTCAGCATGTATTTTTGGTTCGAAGTTTCTCTAGTGTTTTCTGTGGAGAGAGTAAAAGGAAGTTTAGTGGTTTCAGTTAGTGTCCAGAATGAAGTAACATGGTGGGGTGTCCTGCTCACCTTATGAAACTCTTTCGCCCTTGCTCTGTTTTGGGCATAAGCCTCCAGTTTTCCCTTTTCTTCCTTTTGCTTGACTTCAGCTAGTTGATTGTATAACCTGAAAGAATTTCTATGAAGTAAATGCAAATACTGCTGAAACCTAAATCAATAAAGCACCAACACTTGCTACCTTTTTTGCATGATGGCTTGTTCATGATGTCTGTCTTCAGAAAGAGATATTCTAACTTTATTTACACCCTTGTGATGACCCATGTATGAATCTGAATCTGAGAAAAGAAAGCATTAGATGTCTTTCAGGGGGCTGAGTTTGAATGCACTGAAAAGAAGTCATGGTAACTACCTGTTTCAATGTGCGAGTCTTCAGAGATTTGAGTTTTACACATTCTTTTCTGCCCCTGGTAGGATCTTTTTATAAATGATGCTGCTTGCAAGCTCCCAGATACAGCTGTAATTTGGAATGTTTTCATTAAAACTGAATGGCAGTTGTAGTTTTCATGAGCTCCCGTTTTCCTCTACTATTAGATGCATACCTGTAGAAGCTGCTGGTGTTGGGTAATCTGAGGTTTCTGTTGATGGCAGATATTCAGTAACCTAATAGAAAAAAAAGGTTTAGAATTGCTTCTGTCACACCCTACCTTCAGGTTTTCATTATCCCTCCCCTAAGAAAATGTACCTCAAACATTAGTTTGTATTCTGCACACTTGGTAGCTAGGTACATGCACGTAAGTATGAGGAAGGGACCGGGAGGGGACAGAAGACAATACAATCTCTGTATATCACCTCTAGTTGATAAAAGTAAAACTAGGACAAAGTTGGGCTTTGCTCCAGGTACCCACATGAAATACTCCCTACCAGCAGATCCTCTAAAGGAACTGAGTCACAAAGTTACTTTTTCGTAATTTCATGGTCCACCAAATGATTAGAAGTTTACCTGAGTACAGTTTGACCCATTTTCTTCTATGGTCAAGTTTGCAAAGCTTGTTTCAGCAATACTGATGTCACTGCTGCTTACTAAAGTAAGATCTGGTTCCTCCATTATACCATGGCCAGATTCTGTCTCCTGTGCAGAAGGAGAAAAGCCTTTGGTACAAATAGACATGAATACGAAATTGTATGGAAGACCCATAGTTAAGATTCTTCTGAAAAAATACAACTGGAAACTTAAATGGTTATACAGGGTCAGACTAAAGAGCAGTGGCTGCTTGGTTTCATATGTACACCTCCCTCTGCTGCCTGAGGAGTGGCAATTACTGCCTTTAATCCTGGCTACTAGGGAGGCTGAGATCATGGCTTAAAAGGTAGCATAGGCAAGAAAGTCAAGACTCCTCCAATTAAGAGCCAGAAAGTTGGAACTAAGAATAGATAATTGCCAAAGTGAATGCCAGGAAGCAAAAATGGGTGAGGTAATAGGTGTGTGGGCACACAGATGTGTATTAAGTAAAAAAAAAATGTGGGAGAGCAATTGGGGCGGGGGGTGACACTGACCTTACATGCCACCTTACTTAAAGGACTGCACAACAATTTGTACTTAAAAGAATGAGTTGCCTACACTGTAGGCACTGTTTACAGAATTGTGATCAAGCAGGCTCCATTATTTCCAGCAGGTTGAGTAAATGTACAAAGTGCAAGTACAAAGCACAGGAAAGGGATCTTGGGATAAATCTCTAGCAATATTTTTAAAAAAATGTTTAAAAATTTAAGAATGAAGTTCAAGAACATTAACCATTACACTTGTTGCTTCTAGTATTTCAAAGGAATTTAAATTATGTTAATTGGAATTCTTACCCACACTGGAATAGAGCTTTGGAATGAAAATGATCCAAAACTTATATGGGGCTCTGATTGTGCTGGTTGAGGTAGGTTTCTTAGGGCTTCTGGAGTTTCAATCTTCAGTGAATTCTCAAAATAGTTTTCAGTTGAAGTTCCTATCTTTGCTGTTCTTACATGCAATTGTGAGTCAATATCTTCAACATGGGCATGTGTAGGCAAACTACAGATTGCACTTTTATCATCTTTGAATTCTGGACTTTGTAATATTGTGACAATCTGTCTTTTGGACAGTTCTTGGAAATCCAGTCTGCCTTCACTTTCTAGTTTTATTGAACAGTCACTTGAGAGAGAGCCACATGGAGTGCTATGCTGTACAAGCAACTGATCGAACACGCCAGCATCAGATGAACTGTAGGTTGAACTGGAATTTCCTACACAAAGCTGAAAATGAACACTTTTCTTATTTTGTATAATTTCAGTCTGTTCAGAGGGAGACTTTTCATTTTCCATGTCTTGGGAAGAATCTCTTGCTTCAATGCTAACAATACTTGGAAGATCCGCATGCTGGCTCCCCTCCTGGGAAGAAATTTCTGGCAGAAGCTGTGGAAAAGGTTCTTCAGATCCTACATTACAAAATTTAAAAAATACGTCTTATACATTCTGCAATTGATGCATAGTCCCTACAAAATTTTTGTTGTTGGTTAAGGGGCTTGAATTCTGGGCCTGGGTGTTGTCCCTGAGCTTTTCAGCTCAAAGGCTAATGATCTACCACTTTGAGCCACAGTGCCACTTAGGTTTTTTCATAGTTAATTGGAGATACGAGTCTCAGCTTTTCCTGCCTGGGCTGGCTTTGAACCGTTATTCTAGGATCTCAGCCTCCTGAGCAGTTATGATTACAGGCATGAGTCACCAGCACTCAGCACAGGTTTGTACAATTTTATGAGCAAAGATTGCTATAGATAAATATGAAAGATGAGCATAATGGTTTCCAATGAATTCTACAGCTTACATATTTGCAAGTATTTCTAAATAAAAATATATTCAACACAATGCAGATTTTCTCCCTATGGAAGTGAGTACACTTGAAATAGAATGCACGTAATGTCTCTACATGTGTATACCTAGATGTAACAAATACATAATCTGTGATAAAGATCTTGAAAGAATTACAAGGGTTGAAGTGCAGAATCTCAATGGGAACTTTTGTACTTTTTAATGAAAATCAGTACTGTAAAAATTTAAATCAAGTATAAACATAGATACGTGTGATGTGCTGCTCTTTTTTGCTTATGGCTGGAGCTCTACTACTTGAGCCACACTCTCACTTCCAGGTTTTTGCTGGTTAGGGTAAGAATCTCACAAATATGTCTGTCTGGGCTGATTCTGAACCTTGATCCTCAGATCTCAGCCTTTCCAGGTTCAAGTATGTGTGTATGTGTTTACTTGCATGCATCTGTCACCTAATCTTGGGACTTGAACTGAGAGCCTGCCTGTCCCTGAGCTTTTATACTTTTTTTGCAGCTATACTTTTTGGTGGTGGTTAACTCGAGTTAAAGAGTCTTACAGACTTTGCTGGCTGGGCTGGCTTGTAACTGCAATTTTCAGATCTCAGCCTCCTTGGTTGCTAGGATGCTAGGATAAGAGGCATGAACCACTGGTGCCCTGCTGAGAGTGTGTGTGTATTTTTTTAAAAATTTGAATAAATATACCTTTAATACTGAGGACAAATGTGCAGGCAAAGAAGTATCCAGGAATAATACCTAAGGAGAAGAGCCTGGTTCTTTTTTTGGTCATTGGTGGGGCTTGAACTTTGGGCCTGGGTGCTGTCCCTGAGCTCTTCAGCTCAAGGTGAGCACTCTACCACTTGAGACACAGTGCCATTTCCTAATCCCTAAGGAAATGATGAAAAGGAACTATAAAGTACTGAGTTTTAACTTTTTCTATGATGTACATACCCTCAGTGTTTTCTGCAGCAAAACTAGAAGTTGCAGTATGAGCCAAGTTAGCGTCAGGTTGCTGGCTTAGCCTTGTATTAGGAAAAGAATGTAAGTGGGTCTGCCTCAGTGCTGTAAAAGAAACTGTACTTCTGGATGATACAGTAGCATGGTGTCTTTCAGATGAGGTACCTATGGTCTGTCAGAAACAGAAAAAGCTTGAAATAGCCAAATCAACTTCATATTATTTTTTAAGTGCCAATATTGAGCAATTTCAGTTAGCTTTTTAGTTTTTAAACTGTTTACTTATTTTAGCCAGTCCAGGGGCTTGAACTCGGGACCTCGGCCTGTACCTGAGCTTCTTTTGCGCAAGCCTAGCACTCTACTACTTGGGCCACAGTACCAGTTCTGGCTTTTTCTGTTCAAGTGGTACTGAGGAATGGAACTCGGGAATTCATGCACGCTAGGCAAGCACTCCACCACTGAGCCATATTCCAAGCCCACACCAATGCAGAGATTTTTCCATCTTGCCTCCACATCAGAACCAATTGGGAGCTTTAAAAAAGCAAATTAGTGCAGTGATTTAATTGGCCTAGGGTATAGTGTCAGTATTAGGACTTTTGTTTTTGGAGGGAGAGTCATTTGAAATTTAAAGGCTCATGCTTGCTAGGCACTTGAGCCATACCCACAGTCCATTTTTTGCATTAGTTTTCAGACAGGGTCAATATTTGCCAGGAGCCAGCCATTGACTGCCATTCTTCTAACCTGAAGCCTCCTAAACAGCTGGAATTACAGATACATACAACCATACTTGGTAGGTGGTTCACATGGGATCTTTCCAAGTTACCCTTGAGCAAAAAGAGCTAAGGGACAGTGCCCAGACCCTGAGTTTAAGCCTGATGACTGACCCCTGCCCCTCCAAAAAAAAAAAAATCTTTTCTATAAAAGAAAACAACTTGGGCCAAGCGTCGGTGGCTCACACCTGTAATCCTAGCTACTTAGGAGGCTGAGATCTGAGAATTGCAGTTCAAAGCCAGCCTTGGCAGTTAAGTTCCATGAGATTCTTATTTCCAATAAACGACTCAAAACCCAGAAGTGGCGTTGTAGCTAAAGTGGTAGAGTGCTAATCTGGAGCTGAAGAGCTGAGAGACAGTGCCTAGGCCCAGAGGTCAAGCCCCATGACTACACACCAAAAACAAACATATATATACATATATATATGGATATATATATATGTATGTATGTATGTACAATACAATGTGGGGCTGGGGAAAATGGCTTAGTGGTAGATTGCTTGCCTAGCATGCGTGAAGCGCTGGGTTCAATTCCGCAGTACCCCATAAACAGAAAAGGCCAGAAGTGGTGCTGTGGCTCAAGTAGTACAGAGCTAGCCTTGAGTACTGAGAGGCTCAAGGACAGTGCCCAGGCATTGAGTTCAAGCTCCAGGACTGGCAAAAAAACAAAACAAACAAACAAAAAAACAACCAAAACAAAAGAACCAAACTTGTTCTTTTGCAATGGAGCATTTACTTTAATATACCTGGTAAAAGTTGCTGTTGTCTTGAGAAATCCCTGAAGGTGAGAAATCAAAATCTGTATGTGGCTTTAAGGGCTGAAAGAGCTGACGATGCAAATTTGGGAAAACAAATTCCAATTCTGGAAAGTCAAGGTCAACTGTTGGTATTTTTGAGAGAGAGAGAGAGAGAGAGAGAGAGAGAGAGATAATTTTTGTTTTCATTGTAAAGCCCAGGAAAAGAGTACAGAGACATTATCATTCAAAATAAAATAGCTAACTCTAGTTCACCAAAGCCATTTCTTTTTTTTTTCCCCTCCACAATCAACAGATGCTTTTAAATTAAGTCCTATTATGACTGTTTTCAGGTATAGAGAACAAAAAACAGAATTTTTTTTTTTTTGGGTCCGGTCATGGGGCCTGAACTCTGGGCCTGGGCGCTGTCCCTCAGCTCTTCAGGTCAAGGCTAGCGCTCTACCACTTGAGCCACAGCGCCACTTCCGGCTTTTTTTTCTTTTTGCTTATATGGTGCTGGGGAATCGAACCCAGGGCCTCATGCATGCAAGGCAAGCACTCTACCACTGAGCCACCTTCCCAGCCCCAGTGTCCAGAATTTTTGACAAATATAAATTTCTATTTCCAGTTCCCAAACCTTCTAAGGGGTATAGTGCTCATTACTTTTTTTTCTTTTAAATAAACTTTTCTGTTCTTACATAGTTCACTTTAGGATTAATGATTTTAAAAAAGATGAAAAGGAAAGATTCACTCTCGTATGCAGAGTACTTCACAGGTTTTATCTTATTTAATCCCTAGCATCCTTTTACGGAAGATGGATTGATTTCACTTGTTCCCCTGGTCTCATGGCTAGGAAATGGTCTAACTCTGAATTGAATATAGGCCTCTCTGATTTTTTGTTGTTGTTGTTGTTGGTTGTGGGGCCTGAACTCTGGGTGTGGACACTGTCCCTCAGCTCTTCAGCTCAAGGCTAGCGCTCTATCACTTGAACCACAGAGCCACTTCCAGCTTTTTCTGCTTACGTGGTGCTGAGGAATTGAACCCAGGGCCTCATGCATGCAAGGCAAGCACTCTACCACTGAGCCACCTTCCCAGCCCTGGCCTCTCTGATTTTTAAGCTGGAAGTGAAAAGGCTAAACATCTCATTTACCTCTTCATGTAAATCTGGTACTAAGTTTGGTACTTTTCTCACTAAATGCTCTCAATATTTTCTGTGGTATAACTGTGCTGCAGCAGACCATACACATATATGCAGCTCAAATAATACTAAAAAGGATGAAATGTGAAAAGTTAAAAATAATTTATGTAAAAGTATTCCTTTAAAATTTTACCGCACAAGTCTGTTTTTTCAGGTATCAGATTTACTTCCTTTATGCAACTGTCTGTGTTCTGCTGAGATTCTGTGTGACCAGAAGTAAATTCTTCCAATAGAGACTTATGAAGATCTGAAGAGTTCTGCTGCTGCTGAGAGGTATAAATTACTTGTGTTGAAGGAACTACAGAACTTAAAATATCTGTTTCTTCTTGTTTAATGGTAGATTCTTGTTCCTGACGGTCCAAGAATGACTCTGAAAAATGAATTTAATGAATTAATTTAAATGAATTAACACTTACTTTTAATTGCCTAAGTAGTTCATTAGAAACATTCTGGTACAGAGGCATGGCAATATACATTGCTAAGAGATGAACATTACCAAGAAATCTGTTCAGATTACCAAGAGGGAAAATGTCAGACTAGCAAGTGTTTCACAAAGGATTTACAGAACATCCTGTGACTTCCAGTCATTTTTAGGATACTATATTGTCTAATATTCTATTCATCACCAAAACTTTCCTTTTGGAACCTAAACTGCTTAAACTTAAACTGTTTTAAAGGAAAAGTAATGCTTCTCCCAACATTATGCTCGAACTGGTCTTTCAATTTGTTTACATAGTTTGATGATGTTACCTGTGTCTATAAGGCTCAAATCTGTGTTTTCATAACTTAAAAAGCTACCAGTAGAAAGAGTCACTGAAGATGGCTCATGAGAAATATCTTGTGTTTCAGTCTAAAAATTAAAGGGAAATATTAGATCTTAGAACATGATGTATCAAGCAATATCTACAAAAACTCATCAATCTCTGTAGCTGTCACTTCTGAGCTCAGGTCAAGTGTAGAAACCTTCATTGTTACAATGGTCAGTATTAAAATTTTTTCATCATTGCTCAGAAATGATTAGCTTCTCATTCATTCACTCTCACAGACACACACACAGACATACACACACACACACACATATCTTTATTATTTTGTGGTTTTGCTTCTCAGAATTAAAGAGATCATGCATCAGGTAGACTGGTAGATCTTCTGATGCTCAGATTTGGCTATTTTCATCATTGATCCACTATAATAAAAGCAGACCTCAGATAACAGACTTCAATTTTTCAGGAAACTAGAGAATATAAACCAAAAAAACAGTAAATGTGAAGACATTACTAACCTTATTATCTGGCTGCACAACTGGCATCACATGTATGCACTCTTCTCCTTCCACAGCATAGCTTAATACTGCATGATTTTCAACATCAGATTCCTTGACCTTGACTAAAACTGATTTTGAAATTCAAAATGAGGGTAGGGTAGATTAGGGCAAATCAAATTCTCAGCAACAAGTCATCATTCTCTTCTTTCCTACAATTAAGTTTAACATTTTGGCTTTGTAAAGTTGCCTTATCTTAGACTAGAGGAAAGAAATACATTTATTCTGTTTGCCTATCTTTGTGCCAGTATGGGGGCTTGAACTCAGGGCAAAGGCATTCTTTTTTTTTTTTTCTTTGTCGGTCATGGGTCCTGAGCTCTGGGCCTGGGCACTGTCCCTCAGCTCTTCAGCTCATGGCCAGCGCTCTACTACTTGAGCCACAGAGCCACTTCAGGCTTTTTCTGCTTATGTGGTGGTGCTGAGGAATCAAACCCAGGGCCTCATGCATGCAAGGCAAGCACTCTACCACTGAGCCACCTTCCCAGCCCCAAGGCATTCTTTATCTTTTTTTAAGTAAGGTTGATCCTCTTGAGCCATTGCTCCACTTCCAGCCTTCTGCTAGTTAACTGGAGAAAAAAACCCCACAACTAAGAAACTACTTGTCACTCTTACTCCTTGAATAAAGCACTTTAAAAATATATAACTATTAGGGGTAAACACATCTAACTAGTGGGAAATCCTTTTGTCATTGTACTGTGAAGCAAAAAGGATAACAAAAGAACAATATAACTCAAATATGAGCAAAATGCATATGAGACACTGAAGAAAAACACCAAAGTGGGCTGGGAAGGTGGCTCAGTCGTAGAATGCTTGCCTTGCATGCATGAGGCCCTGGGTTCGATTCCTCAGCACCACATAAGCAAAAAGAAAAAAGCTGGAAGTGGTGCTGTGGCTCAAGTGGTAGAGTGCTAGCCTTGAGCTAAAGAGCTGAGGGGACAGCGCCCAGGCCCAGAGTTCAGGCTCCACGACCAGACATCCCCCCCCCCCCCCAAAAAAGAAAAAGACACCAAAGTGTAATTATTAGTGATCAGACACTTATTTTACATGTTGCCCAAAGGTAAACCTAAAATATCCTGAGTTAGCCAGGTGCCAGTAGCTCATGCCTATAATCCTAGCAACTCAGGAGGCTGAGATCTGAGAATCAAGGTTAGAAGCCAGCCTAGGAAGACAAGAGATTCTATTTCTAGCTAATCAGAAAAAAGCCAAGTGGGAGAACACTAGTTGTGAGCAAAAAGAAAGTTAAGTAAAAGCAGAAGGCCCTTAATTCAAGCCACAGTACCAGCATACAAATGAGAGACAGAGAGACAGAGAGACAGAGACAGAGAGAGACAGAGACAGAGAGAAGAAAGGGAAGGAAGAAAGAAGAGGAGAAGGGAGGGGAGGAAGATCCTTCCAACTCAATTCTCTGAAGTTCCTTAACTGCAGTTATATGCCACTAAAACTGAGGGCCCTGTGCATGCTAAGCAATCACTTTTCACCGAACTATACCTGAAATGTTTTCTACATTCAGAGTATAGATGAATAATGTGCTGCCATTTCTAATTAAATTTCACATACAAAAATTATACCTCTTCACCAATTATACCCTGGAGTTTTGAATTTGAGAAATTTCACTAAGACACACAACTACCTGTGGCTCTGAAAGTGAATAAAATTAAAACTAAATTTCTCTATTACCATTGCCATGATATTATGAGAGATCACATATATATATATATATTTAAATGGATGCTCTCTACATAAATGAATACACATCTACAAACCTAAGTGTGTATGTATGTGTCTACAAAAACTAATAGCAAGTATTACTAACCTTCAAGTACTATTTTACTCTCCTATTCTAGTTCATTTTTTCTATAATTCATGCCTTACATAGTTCATGTGAGAATATATATACATATATATTCTTTATATTAAAATATTGCTTTCTTACAAAAGCTAAGGGTATAGAGCTTGAAGTCAGTAATTCAATCTAAAGGGCTACTAAGAAAACAGTGGGAAGAGCTGGGCACCAGTGGCTCATGCCTGTAATCCTAGCTACTCAGGAGGCTGAGATCTGAGGATCACAGTTCAAAGCCAGGCAGGGCAGGAAAGTGTATGAGGCACTTATCTCCAATTAACCACTAGAAAACTGGAAGTGGCACTGTGTCTCAAGTGGTAGAGTGCTTGTCTTGAGCTGAAGAGCTGAGGGACAGCGTCCAGGCCCAGAGTTCAGGCCCCACGACCAGCCACAAAAAATAAAAACAAAAAACAAAAAACAAATCAAAAGTGACAGGTTCTATGACCCTGTAAATAGCAAGCACCTCATAAAAAGGGTATGTCATTTGGAAATCTCTACCTTACATACTTCCTCCCCCCATACTTTAATCATCTTTATATTACTGAAAATACATAATTCTTCAAAGTAAAAAGCCTGAACATATCTAGTAGCACATGCAATTTTTGTTGTTGTTGTTGTTCCTTTGACAGTGCTGGGAATTGAATTCAGGGTGTTGGGCATGCTGGGTAAATGCTCTAACACTGAACTACACTCCCACCATTTTAAATTATTTTTAATCTTCAAGTGATTGAATCCACAGATACAGAAACTTTAAATGCAGAGAGATGGCTCTAAGTTTTAATACCTTTTTACTGAGGTGTTTCAGGCTTGCCCTTGGTGTAAAAACCTAAGCTCTGCTCCTGTAGTCCTTGACTACAGGACATAGATAGAACAAAAGTAAAATTCAAGTATCCAGTGGTGCAACCTAAAAATATAAAGTTTTATTGTAAAACTTCAAAAGTTTTAATGTACTAAATTGTGTGTATATATAATATATATATATATATATATATATATATATATATATTTTTTTTTTTTTTTTAAACTGGAGCTTAAACTCAGGGCCTGGGCGCTGTCCCTGAGCTTTTCTTGTTCAAGGCTAGCACTCTACAACCTGAGCCACAGGTTCATTTCCTGAAGTGCTATCTTTTACAGTTACTCCCAACTGCAATTTCAAAAAGACACAATTTTTTCCCTCTATAAACCCTCAAAAAGACTGTCTCTCATCTCATTCTATTAAACTATAGGTATAACTAAGATATAAATGATAGACATAACAGGCTAAAATAAAAAGAATTTAAATGTAAATTTAAGATATTTAAAAGATAGATTACAAATATATTAAATGTGGACTGTTACAAGTAGTCTTTATTTAACACAAAATCTGGGGCTGAGAATGTGGCTTAGTGATAGTGCTTGCCTAGCATGCCTGAAGCCCTGGGTTTGATTCCTCATTACCACATAAAGAGAAAAGGCTGGAAGTAGCATTATGGCCCAAGTGGTAGAGAGCTGGCCTTGAGCAAAAGAAGCTCTGGAACAGTGCCTAGGCCCTGAGTTCAAGCCCCAGGCCTGACAAAAACAAAAATAACACAAAATCTATAGAGCTGCTAACCGTATCAAACTCTTACCCTTATTACTTCCTACTGGTATTTATTTAATGAAGCAATTAAAAACAAAATTACTTGTTTTCCCAGTAAACTTCAGACATAATAATGATTATTAAAAAATCTATAATGTGTGAGTACTAACAGAAAGCAAAACCTAGTCCTTGAAACAAATAACCCTGTATTAATAACGATGGCCATTTTAGGTAAGTTGCTATGCATAGAGCACAGAGCATGCATGTGCTACCATAGTTTCATTCCTAATAGTCACTGAGGTTACTTACCACTAACAATAATTACAGTTCCAATTTTAGTCCCAGTTCCAACTTAATTCTCACCTGCTCCATCAGTGATAGCGTCACTTCTGATGTTCTCCTGCACAGACGGCTGATGACAAACAAATGCATTCTGGGCAGGGGGGCTCTTAAGGAAATTTTGTTCTCGGCTTATTGAGACTCTCATGGGGTCTCTGTCTTCAAAAATATTTAGTTTATCTGAGAAGAAAATTGATTCCTTAGATTTGTACAATGCATTAAAACAAAAATGTCAATTTAGATACAAAGGGAAAATATAAGAACTTAAAAGCAACAAAACAATAATGGCTTATTATTCACAGACTTTTTAGTTATTGTCAGTTTTATAAGTCTTTAAGGATGCTCCTATTTCCTAACATCAGATTATACTTCATACTGACTAATCACAAGAAAGAAAAAAGCCTGGATAATCTACTAATCCCAAGTCATATTTTAAGATATAACATACATGAATAATATGTATTAAGTTCAAGAAACAGCCACAACTAATCTGTGATATACATCAAGATACAGGCTTAGAAGGATAATTAGGAAGGCATAAGGGAAGAATAATTCATGGAGCTCTAATGTTCCAGTTCATGACCTAGGTGATCCTTATGTGGCTGTTTCAGCTGTGGACCTGAATCCAGTGATTTATCTTGTAAGTTTATCTAAACAAACCACTGAAATAAACTAAGACTCACGCACTTCTCTGAATGAGAATACAAAAAAGAACAAATGCCAAATCCCACAAAAAAGTTGGGAATTAAAGGTACCAAGTGTTACAAAAAGAAGCTACTCATCTTCAGGAATGGAAAACAGGGAGTACTGGTAAGCTCACTCACTGCCTATTCCTAGCTATTCAGGAGGCTACTTGAAAATTGCAGTTTGTAATCAGCCGGAGCAGACAAATATGCAAGACTCATGTCCAATAACTTTCAAAAGGGTGGAAGTGGCTCAAGTGGTAGAGCAGCAGCTGTGAGCAAAAAAGTGGAGAGGCGAGAGTCCCTGAGGTCAAGTCCCAATACTGGAAATATTGTTAAAGTAAGTCATAATTGTAAAATACAGAGAGACAGAGAGCTGTGAAATTAGTGAAAGTGGAAAAGTAACAATGGAAGAAAAAAGAATTGAGTCACATCCTAAACAGATTTAGAAGGTAGATATGAAAGATGGCAGAAGGAACAAGAATGTCAGAATATGGGATATAACAATCACTTCTGTCTGTAAATTGCTTCCCTTCTATACATATAAAAGTGGTCACCTAATATTTCAAGTAGTCACCTAATACCACTTCTTTAATTACAAGGGTTTTGTCCCCCCCCCCCTTGCCCCTTCCCCCTCCTCTGGTTGATCATGGGGCTTGAACTCTGGGCCTGTATGCTATGCTTCAACTCTTCATCTCAAGGCAAGCACTCTACTACTTGAGCTACAGCACCACTTAGCAGTTTTCTAATAGTTCATTCGAGATTAAGAATTTCATGGACTTTCCAGCCGGGGCTGGCTTTGAACCATGATCCTTAGATCTCAGCATCCTGAGTAGCTAGGATTACAGGCCTGAGCCACTGGTGCCCGGCTTTAACTACAAGTTTTGTTTTGTTTTCCAAACTACAAGTTTTAAAGACCTATCTAAGAAAAAAGTTTTTTTCTTCTCAAATGTAAAGACTAAGTCTCTTTTGATAAATTTTAGCATCTTAAAAAAGTTGCAGAAAACCAGCAAAATATTAAAATATCATTTATCAAACCACTGGATTACCTGGTATAGACGTCTTGCCACTTGCTGGTGATTCTATTTCTTGTATAGCACTAAGTTCATGCTGATTTAAGTTCAGTCCACATTTAACCCTGGCCACAGGTGGCTTTGAGGCTCTTTTACCCAGTTCTTTGTCTAGATGCTCACCTATCAATTCCAAGACAAAATCAGGCACAATAAAGATCTATTAGCACACTGTAAGCTTCTCTTCAACGAGCAAGCTGTAGGGGATGAAAGCAATGAGCAGAACTGCAATAAAATGCACTCATGTTACCCCTTAACTTGGCACTAGAATCTTCTGAAAGCAGCTGATCAGCATCAGCATTGCCCTTGCCTGCATGCAGGTCTTGGATATGAGGAAGCCATTCTCTGAACTGCTCCATCTTCTGTATATTAAGATAATTTTCAATCATGGGCTTACCTGTCTGAAAAGTGGACAGAGGAAAGTAGGGATGACACACCGGGGGGTCAAGTGGGAATTCACTTATGTTAGAATCTCTACCAAACCAACATCATTCACACAACTACAATTTTATTCACAGATAAAACGAGATATGTTCCCAATATTGAAGTTTATCTTCCCATTAAAAGTATCATAACTATGGCCACAACAACTTATGTTTCCTCTGTACTTTGCAGTGGAAGATTATACTTGGCTATTCTCTGCTTCTCATTTCCATCATTTTTTCTCTATATTAATTCCTAAGACTTAGCTTCTGCTGAACTCGATTCAAACTCAAGTTCAATGACCTCCCACAGTAATATGCACACATTCATACAGGTGAAAACACTCTTGTCTCCTATGTGAAGAGCTATGAATGTCTGAGCCAGTCTTTCTAAGTATTCAGATGCAAGACCAGCAAGTCTAGTTCTAAATCACCCTACAAATACCTTTATAACAATTCACAGTAATGTAATTAAGGAAAAAGTGGGTACTAGTTTTAATCACATATAAATATCAATAATGTACTTGTACTACATATAAAGAACACTCATACAAATGTCAACAATTACATAAAGGTCTGCTATGGCATAAGAAAAATTATACCAGTGAGTTACTTTTATAATTTTATCTATATTAAGCTCAAAAATCCTTTTTCCTTCCTTTCTTTTTTTCTTCTTTTGTGGCAGTCCTGGGGCTTGAATTCAGGGCCTGGGAGCTGTCCTTGAGCTTCTTTTGCCACTTGAGCCACACTGCTACTTCCAGGTTTTTCTGTTTATGTGGTACTGAGGAATTGAACCCACCCCGGGCTTCATGCATTCTAGGCAAGCACTCTACTACTAAGCCACATTCTCAGACTTCTTTTGGTCAGTCTTGGGGCCTGAACTTGGGGCCTGGGTGCTGTCCCTGAGCTCTTTTTGCTCAAGGCTAGAACTCTACCACTTTGAGCCTCAGCACCACTTCAGGTTTTCTAATGGTTAACTGGAGTTAAAGAGTCTCATGGGTTTTGTGTTTGTATGTGCCAACACTAGGCTTGAACTCAAGGCCTTGTGCTCTTACTTGGCTTTTTCACTCAAGGTAGATACTTTACCACTTGAGTCACATATCTAACTTCAGTAAAATCCATAACAAAACTCCATTCCAAATTAGAATCTATGTTCTCACAGGAGATAGAGATGAGTGGTAGAGATCTTGCCTAGCATGCACCAACCCCTGTATTCCAGCTGAGCATAGCAGAGAAAAGAAGAGTTATAAATTTATATTCTTTTTTATATTCATTTAAAATTAGGCAGGCTTCAAATAAACATTTATGAGGTACAGAAATTTTTATTTAAATTTCCCCATTGTTATGGGAGCAGATGAAAGCAGTTAAGGTAAAACTTGTCCTCAAATCACTGAAAAGCAGAGGCCTAGAATTAAAAGGGAGTAAGGTGGCTTAAATATCTGCTTAAATTTTAGGTTTTTAGGTTAAAACATACCTGATGGTCATCATGTTTCTGCAATGTTGTTTGTATATGGTCAAGTAATTCTTCCGGGGCTTTTTGGCTATAATGCAAAACTTCTCTCTGTAGATCCAACTGCTTCTCAAGACTCATGTAATTTTGCTTTAGTAAGATTGGCTGTGAATAAGTCAAAAGTCTCTCTTGAAATCCTGGTATCTCAGAATCACTCGAGGGAGCTTCATGTTCATTTTTAGATGAGTTCATTTTGTAAGTACTTGTATATTTAGCTTCTGCAAAAGGTAGTGGAATGAATGAATGCTCTAGATCCTCAGATAGAAAGGAAGAAGAAAGGGCAAGCTCCGCAGATTCAATTTTGTTAAACTGACTTTCTTTGTTTAACAGCAGCTCTTCTTCGGTGTTCTCATTATGATACACTCTCAAATCACCTTGCTGAGGCAGAAGAGGCTGTGAAGAGCTCAAAAACTTACCATGTAACGTGGAGAATTCTGCATTACTGCTGTCGGTTGAGAAAGACTTTTGGGTTCCTTCAGAGCTGGCAACAGGCTGTGCTACCTGGGATGCAAATGAAGAGCTAATCTGCTCAGATGATACCCTTTTCTCCAATTTACATAATTTCTGTAAAAGCAGTTCTTCTTGAACTTCTTGGCCAAAGCGAATGACTTTCCTTTGCATATCTAACTGGTGTTGCAATGTCTTGAAATCACCATGGTAAGCTTGGATAAAATGCTCAGAAGATACTTTTGCCTCAGATTCATGTTGTCTGGGCAACACTAACTCTTCCTGGGGTTTCTCAATAGAAGGAAAAGAACTTGTCTGTGCATGCAAGTGCTCTTGAAGTGTAATCACATTATCCTGTTGAGGTAAAGTATGTGATAAACTCAACTGCCTATTAGGCAAAATCAGCATCTCCAAATTACTGGAGGAGGGTGTACTATCAATGTTTGTAGGACAGCATTCTTGGGTTCTTTCAGATTCAGTAAGAGGTAATGAAGCACATGGATGTGTTATTAAGAGTGAGGGAGAGATGCCACCCTGCTCAGGAGACACTCTTTCCTTCCAACTCTGCTGGTTCCATGAAAGCATTTCTTCCCTAGCTTCCTGTCTAGCTTGAATGATGCCTTCCCTCTGTGTAGCTAATTTTTCTTGAAGTGCCTTCAAATTATCTTGTTGAGGCTGTATACAATGTGACAGCTGTACAAGCTTGTGCTGTAACTTGGGGATCTGAAAACGTCTTGACGTTTTGTTATCACTCTCTATTGAAACTGGCTCCTGGGTTAAACTAGAGTCAGCAGAAGGTAATGATGTAAATGAGTGCTGTTCTATTTGAGGTGTAAACAAAGAAAAACCAGTTTGTTCAGAAGATGTATTATCTTGAGTTTTCTGACTAAAATTTACAAACTCTTTTGGTGTGTCTATGTATTCTTGGTGTTTCTCCAAATTATCTGGTAGAGGTAGCACATGTGAAAATCTTAAAAGTCTTTCCTGGAATCTAGGAATTGCAGAATGAATTAAGGGATCTGTACTGTCACTCTTGATTGACATGAAGTCTTGCAATCTTTCAGATTTAGCTACTGGTGATAGCGAAGAGGTGCCACTCTGTTCAGAAGAAATTCTTTTCAATTCAGTTTGTTTGTGTACAAATTCTTGAGATTCTTTTCTAGCTCCAAGTATTATTCTCTGTATGTGTGATTGTTCTTGGAGTGTTGTGAAATTTTCTTGCCCTGGCAAGCTATGCTGTAGGAAGCTAAGAGAAGTATCTTGAAATGCTGGGCTGATCAAATTATCAGAGGGAATTATGCTCTCCTTCTTAGATAAATAATGTTTCTGAAATCTAGGCTCAGATTCAGTAGAAGATGGTGAAGTATCTATATGCTGAACTAATACTGGTGAGAATGAAAAACTCATGCGCCCAGGCTCAATGTCCCTCAAATCCTTTTGTCTATGTAAAAGTATGTCCACATGAGCATTGTATCTAGCTGGAGGAGTATCTTTCTGTGTAGCCAGGTGTTCTTGGAGTAACTCTGAACTATCATGTAGAGGCAGGAAACTCGAAGATCCATCCTGACACACTGGGATTTCAGACTGGCTTGACAGAAACCCTTCCTCATTCCTAGATAAATGTTGTTCCTGGATTTTTCTATATTTTGTAACAGCAAAAGGTAATGAAGTAAACATATGCTGAGCTACTTGATGTGGCTGAGAAGAAGTTGCAGACTGTTCAGAACATAGTCCTCCATCCAAATCACACTGTTTACCTACAAATAAGACTTCCTGAGCTTCCCGTCTAGCCTGTAGGCTATCTTTAACAACATTCAACTGTTTGTGAGGAAATTTTAAATTATTTTGCTGTGATAACATAGGCTGTGAGAAACATATAAGACTATCCTGAAGCTGGATCACAGGATTGCTTGAGGAAGCTAATGTAGCATTTTTGGCTACAGAAGATTCCTGGGCTCTTGATTCAGCTTTGGAATAAGTCAGTGAAGCAAATGAATCTGCTACAGTTGGGAGGAATATAGAGAAGCCAATCTGCTCTTCCAACTCCTTCTGTTTATGCAAAAGCAATTGCTCCTGAGCTTCTTGTCTTGCCTGAAGAATATCCTTCTGGAGTTCTAACTGTTCTTGAAGAGCCTTCAAATTACCTTGCTGGGCTGTGATAGTCTCTGAGGATGTCAAAGGCTGATCATGGATCTGGCTGCCTACAGAATGGCTTATACAAACTGCACTTTTGTTTATGGTTGATAAAGGCTCCTGAATTTTTCCAGATTCAACTTTAACAGGGAGAAGAGTAAAAGAATGTTCAGGTACCAGTGGTACGAATGAAGGAGGTTCAGTGAGCTTAGAAGATGTATTTTCACTGTCCTGTGATACTTGTTGGGAATCTAAAGTTTGAAAAGTTGTTAGCCTAAATGTTTCAGATAGTTCTCTAGCATTTTGTATTCGTGCCCTATCCGATGACAAGGTCCTTGAAAGTATTTGTGACTTATTAGGGACCAACCAGTCTGTCTGTTGTGTTTCAGTTCCAGAGAATTGCCTTACATGTTCTTCTGAGTCTAAAGACTTATTGGCTAAAACATCTGAAGCGCTTAGTATTTCTGTAGTTTCTACCTGTCTTTGTGGAATATGACTCTGTCTTAGTGGAATGTGACTTGGTCTTAGTGACTGAATATGATCTTGTTTTAATTTGGAGGACTGTATGGGCTGCACAGGCTTGTATTTGTAGGGACTTAACTTTGGGCTCCTACTCTGATCCCAATGTTCTGATACAACAGAATCAGATACCAATGATGTGGTTGACGAAGAAGGGTACTTCCCTTTTAATATTGTTTGATATTCTAGTAACCGTTTCCTGGCAGTTTCAACAGATTGTCTGTGTAACCTATCAAAAACAAGCACAAAACAAGGTTTTTTTATTTTTAAATTAAAAAAAAAAGGCTTCACATTCTCAAGTATTTACATACTGAATTTAGCAAAGAGCAATCTAGGATTATCTATAATCATGGCAGACAAGGAACCCTCCCATTGCCCTTGGAGAAATCAAAATGCTAAGTTCTAAACAAATCCCAGTCAGATGCTTATATAAATCAAATAATTAATCCTGAAGATGTAGCCTACTCTTACACAGAAATTATATTCTAATACCTGTTTTGCTGTAAGAGTTGCTGTTGATAGTTACGAATCATCTGCCTATGGTTATCCTCATCAGAAATGACAGTGCTTGATGCAGAAGCAATGCTGACCTAATAAAACACAAAGTTAATTAGAAGGCAAATTTCAGAAACAAATACTAAAGTTTTTTTTTTTTTGCCAGTCTTGGGGCTTTAACTCAGGGTGCTGTCCCTGAACTTCTTTTGCTCAAAGCTAGCACTCTACCACTTGAGCCACTTATGTAGCCACAGAGCCACTTCTAACTTTTTCTGAGTAGCTTATTGGAGATAAGAGTCTCACGAACTTTCCTGCCCAGGCTGGCTTCGAACCACAATCCTCAGATCGTGGAATAGCTAGGATTATAGGCACACGAGCCACGGGCACCCAGCTAATACTGAAGTCAAAACAAAACAAAACAAATTGAAGTTCTACAATTATACATTTTTATATAGGCTTTTCTTTTTCAGTCAGTCCTGGGGCTTGAACTCAGGGCCTGAGTGATGTTCAAGGCTAGCACTCTACCATTTGAGCCAACTTTTTTTGGCAGGAAACTGGAAATCAGAGTCTCACAGACTTTCCTGCCCAGGCTGGCTTCAAACAATGATACTCAGATCTCAGCCTCTTAAGTAGCTAGGATTAACTACTAGTGCCCAGCTTTATTTTATAGAAAATGACTGGAAATTAGGACTGAGAATACAGCTGTTATAGAGCACTTGTCTAGGTTTGATCACAAGCACTGCAATAATAAATAAAAATGAAACAACAAAGTGTTTTTAAAACAAACAAAAAAAACCTCATACAATCTGATCTAATGGTAATAGTTACTCAACTCTTGAGTGTGAGTGTGTGTAGCCCATGAATCCCAGCACTCAGGAAGCTGAGGCAGGAGGAACACAGTTTAAAGCTACCTTGGGCAGGCTACATAGTAACCTGTGCTAGAACACAACACAAAATTAAAAACATTGGCACGTCTATAAAAAGAAATGAAGTATTCTACTTTAGTGCTAAGTCTAAAATCTCTGCATACACATTATGGTGTATGGTCATATCTGTTTTGGCAGCCTACTAAAACTGTAAAGAAAAAAAAAATCAAACTTATTTGTCTATACAGATAACTTTATTTATTAAATGACCAAATAAATGTAGATGAAGGGTATTTTACATTTCTGAATATTACAACTGCTCATATTTCCTTTTCCTCCCCCATAGTTGTGATGACATTTCTTATACCCTACCTCAGGCTGCTGAGTTCTTTTTCTTTTGTCTTCTTCCAACTGAGCCCGGAAGCAATCTGTTTCTAACCTTAATTTTTGTTGTTCAATTTGTTCTAGTAATTCCAACTGCTTTCGCTTTTGCACTTCTATATCCATTATCTAGGTAATGAGAATGTTATTGATCTGTTAACAACAAACTTATACAAAAGAAAATTTATATTCATTAAATTAAAAACAGGTTTAGGCCAAGTGTAGTTGCTCACACATGATATCCTAGCTATTATAGAAGGCAGAACTCCGGATGATCATAGTTCAAGGCCAGCAAAGATCAAAAGGCCCCATCTCAACCAATATAAAGCTGGGCATGATGGTGCACATCTGGTCTCGCAGCTATATGGAAAATGTAAATAGGAAGATTACGGTCTAGAACAGCCTAAACAAAAAGGCCTTATTTGAAAAAAAAACTATGAAGTCAGAAAAGGGCTGGGGATATAGTTCAAGTTGTAGAAAATCTGCCTACAAAGTGCAGGGCCTTGAGTTAAAACCCCAGTACCACCAAAATAAAAATTATAAAAAAAAAAAGGAGGAAGAAACAGGGCTCATTACCAGAAGGAGTTTTATTTATGCTACTAGTAATACCAAAGGAAGACAGGAGAGATGTGAAAAGACAAATGAGAAAAAAAGCTTAATGTGGAAGAGAAAAGAGGGAATTAGGGCATTAATGTTTTCTGTTTTCTGGGAGGCAGGAAACCACGATTACCACTTAAGAGTCACTTCCAGAAAAGCTGCAAACACTGGGCAGCTGAACTCTGCTTACTTCTTTAATTTACATTGTTCCTAGTATGAATATTACTAAAGAAAATAAGTGTTGGGGCCTCCAGTAACTATTTGATTTCTTAGGAACAGCCGTTAAGTATTGTAGCTATTTGGAAGCCAAAGGACTAGTCTGTTTTGTTGCCTGCCAAATGCAGGCAACAATGTAGTTCCTGGCTTTGCAAATATTTACTGAAAAAGAAAAAGGAACACAGATGTAGTTGTTTTTTTTTTTTTTTTTTTGGTCGTGGGGCTTGAACTCTGGGCCTGGGTGCTGATCCTGAGCTTTTCAGCTCAAGGTGAGCACTCTTCCACCATTTGAGCCACAGCTCCACTTCCAGTTTTCTGGTGGTTAATTGGAGATAAGAGTCTCATGGACCTCCAAAGAGGCATAAGCTAGGCGGAAGGTTTAGCACAACAGTAGAGTGCTTGTCTAGCAAGTTTATCCCTAGCACTGCAACCCAAAATTAATTTCTTTAAAGTATTACCTTTTAAAATCTTTTGGGGTTATATAAAGCCCATCTGGGCTGTCGGATTATGGGGCAAGAACTTGGTAATTCAACAAACATTTCATTGGGCACTTACTATGTATATAAGGCATTTACAAAGAGAACAGTGTCTAACTTTTTAAAAATTTTTCAAATTTTATAGTAATACAAGCATATAATACAAAGTAGACACAGTATGGGTCAAATGAATGAGCAAAGACAAAATATATTTTATCAGCTAAATGTCTGTGTAAGACAAGATAAAAAAACATGATACCAAAATTAGCCAGACAGTAAGACAGATTACATGGGTTAAACAAAATCACAGTATCTAGGAGAAGAAAACGTTTAAAAATAAAACTTCATAACCTGTTTCTGCCTTGCTGCTGCTCTAACTCTGATCGCTTCTTCTTGAGGATGAAGTAGAATTGAGCTCTGAGCGACAGCTGTGCCAGGTAGAGTTTCATATAGGTCTATGAAAATGCCCAAAAGAAAAATTAGTTTCAATAACTTAGAATACTGACTGCAATAAATGTCCTACCATTCATTTATTACATAATACTACTAGGAAAAATACCTCAAAAGCCTACCAAGTTTAATCTGAGGATGTGATAAAAAGAAATACCTTTTTCCTTTCCAGTGTCTCTGTGGTGCAGAAGTGGTTTATCATCACTAGAGAGTGGTCCAGACTCAATTGTCAATGTATCACTTTGGATAACTATAAGAGATTATACCACTGTTATTATAACCATATCATCACTGTCAAGCTTAAAGGAAGGAAAAATTAAAAACTGACATTCAGATTACCCATTCAGTCTACCTGAAGTGAACCACTTAAGATCCCATCACCTTCTTGATGATCATATATATTATCTATCAAACCCAAGGATCTTATCACAATATAGAACAGAAGACTAAAATCATGAACAAGGAGGAAATAAAAGAACTGGTTTAAAATGTATGCTGACAGTTTTCAAACACAATGGAAAAGCACAGAATAGGTGAAGTATCAACAGTAACAAAGAGAAGCTAAGGAAAAGTCAGTATATCTTTGATATGTTTAAATGCATGGATTTTTATTATTTGTGAAGCCAGGACACAAAAGAAATCAACAATTTACTCTCACCACATGAAGGTAGCAGCCAGATACTCTGAGGCATTCACTTAACTGTTTGGCACTTAGCTACTAAGGGATCCGTGGTAAATGAGAACAGGTTTTGAGGAAATTTTTTAACAGGGTAAAGGGAGGGACAAATTCTTCATATAATTATCCTGGAAAAACTTAAGAGTTATATAACAGAATGAATGTGTTAAAGATAATATTGAGTTAGCAGGTCTGATCTGTTTTTTGGAGGAAATGACCTTGAAGCAGACTCCTAATAGGTACAGAAGATTCAGCAGGTAATAAAAGGCCCTGTGAAAAATAAAGAAGCTTGGCTCAAAGAACTGGAGGAGGAGAGCCCTCAGGTTCTGAGCTCAAGGGCAGTACTGGCAGGAAAAGAAAGATAAAATAAAAGGTGCTGCCAGCTGAGTAGCCTGAGTAAGTGAGATACTGTGGTTCATCTCTGTAACTCCAGTTACACAGGAAACCAAAGGAGGAGGTCTGTAGTCTCTAAACAATCCCTCGTCAGAAAGCAGCCAGTTGTAAGAGACAGAGGTGAGGTGCACCACTTCTACCTGGCTATGTTTGTGTGTGTGCATGCACACATGCATGCATGAATGGTAAAAAGCAGAGTTGCTGGTTTGGGACACTTTTCTTCCCCTCCACACCTGTGACAGGGTGGACAGGGTGGGAGGTGGGGAGGAGAACTAAAGATTCGTGCGCATATGGTCAGGAGAAGGGAAGGATGAAGCAAGATGAGTATAGAGAAAGAACTCAGTTATGTATTAATGAAAGGTTCCTGTAATTACTCAGATGGTTGCCCTCTTCTCACTAAATTCTTTCCATTAAAAGATTTCTTTGGGTCTGGGTGTGTGGCTAAGTGATAGATTGCTTGCCTAGCATGCATGAAGCCCTGTGTTCGATTCCTCAATACCACATAAACAGAAAAAGCTGGAAGTGGCACTGTGGCTTAGTGGTAGAGTACTAGCCTTGAGCAAAAGAAACTCAGGGACAGTGCCCAGGCCCTGAGTTCAAGCCCCAGGACTGGCAACTCCTCCCACTACCCCCCCCCCCCCCGAAAAAAGAGAAAGATTTCTTACATGTCTATGGCTATAAACAGTATACATATGTCTGATTTCTTAAGTCATATCTCTTGATTTAAGCTATTCAACTAATTCAACCAATACTAATTGGGCACCTTTAATGAAGAGCACTAGGCTCTGATAATATAGCATATCAAACATATAAACAAATCAAACATATACTGAATATGTCCAGGTGCCAATGGCTCATGTCTATAATCCTAACTGTTCAGGGGACTGAGATCTCAGGACTGCTGTTCCAGGCCAGCGCAGGCAGGCATGAGACTCTTATTTCCAGCCAGAAGTGGAGCTGTGGCTCAATGCTAGCCTTGAGCACAAATAGGCTCTGGGATAGTGCCTAGGCCCTGAGTTCAAGCCCCAAGACTAGCAAAAAAAAAAAAGAAAAAAAAAGAAAAAGAAAAGAGAAAGATGTGCTGGTACACACTCCTGAAGGTAAGGAGGATCATGAGTTTAAGGTTTGGCTGGTTACATATTGAGCCTCTCTCAAAAAGCACAGTAATCCTAGTTACTCAGGAGGCTAAGATCTCAGGATCTCAGTTCAAAGCCAGCCCAGAAACACAAATCAAACAGATATTTCTCTCCAATTAACCACCATAAGGCTGGAACTTCAAGTATGGCTCAAGTGGTAGCACCCTAGCTGTGAGTGAAAAAAAAAAAAATATCAGGAAATAAAAAGCTTGAATAGCCGGGCGCTGGTGGCTCACGCCTGTAATCCTAGCTACTCAGGAGGCTGAGATCTGAGGATCGCGGTTCAAAGCCAGCTCGGGCAGGAGAGACCGTGAGACTCCTATCTCCAATAAACCACCAGAAAACTGGAAGTGGCGCTGTAGCTCAAGTGGTAGAGTGCTCGCCTTGAGCTGAAGAGCTGAGGGACAGCTCCCAGGCCCAGAGTTCAAGCCTCACTACCGACAAAAAAAAAAAAAAAAAAAAAAAAGCTTGAATAGACAAACAGGACTTCATCAAGCACATCAAAAGAAACAATTACCAGAATGCAGACCTAGCCTACAGAATGCAAGAAAATCTTTACTAACTATCGGAGAAGGGATTAATATCTAGAATATACAAAGAACTCAAATGAACTGTGTGACTTGTGGAGAGTGACAGGAGGGAGAAAATAGGGGAAAGCAAAGGGTAACAATGTCCAAAAAGAAATGTACTCATTACCTGACTTATATAACAGTAACCCTTATACAACATCTTAATAAAATATTTTAAAAACATAGAAATGACCAATAAATATATGAGGAAATATTCACCACCAATGAGCCATAAAGGAAATGTATATCAAAATTATACTGAGAACCAGACCTTGGGGGCTTATGCCTATAATTCTAGCTATTCAGGAGGCAGAGATCTGAGGATGACGGTTTAAACCCAGCCCAGGTAGGAAAATCTTATGAGAGTCTTATCTCCAGTTAACTACCAGAAAACAAGAAGTAGAGATGTGGCTCAAAGTGGTAGAGCACTAGCCTTGAGCAAAAACAGATCAGGGACAGTGCCCAGGCACAGACGAAAACAAAAAAACTATACTGAGATTCCATCTCACTTCAGCCAGAATGGCAATCATTAAGAAAACAACACCAAGTGCTGGTGAAGATGTGGAAGGTAGGTAGGTATGTTTGTGTTTGTGTGTGTGTGTGTGTGTGTGTGATATATATCTTTATACACTGCTGAAGGAGGTTCTTTCAAAGAGTAATAAGATATCTACCATATGGTCCTGCTATATCATTCTTGGACATATCCAAAGTGATGTAAGCACATAATACAAATACCTCCACATTCATATTTACTGTAATACTAGTACAAAAGCCAAGTTACAGAATCAACCTAGGTGTCTACAACAGATAGACAGATTAAAAAATTGTGGCATATATACTTCTATAGAGTCTTTAAAAAGACACAAAATATCATTTACACAAAAGGGCAATGATGGCTATTTCTCTCATTATGTGGAAAGGAGATCACAAGGAGAAAAAAAACACCATGAACATAAATGGAGGATTGTTGGGGAAGAAGGAATTAGCAGGAAATGAAAGGGGACAGACAGCAAGGCAGAATATGATTGAAGTACACTGTATACATGTAGGAAAGGTCATAATAAACTTTCTTTTATAAAACTGCAAGGATATGGTGTCACGCACTATAGCTCAGTCAGGACCACTGATTCTGCACACACAGTATTCTGCCATTAACCTAACACTGCATTACTGAATCATATATTTCTCTTCTTTGTTGGAAAAAAATAAACATAAATCAAAGTGATTACTGATTGGGGGGAGAAAAAAACCCAAAACAAAACTGCAAGGATGGGCTGGGAATGTGGCTTAGTGGTAGAATGCTTGCTTAGCATGCATGAAGGCCTGGGTTCGATTCCTCAGTATCACATAATCAGAAAAAGCTGGAAGGGGCACTATGGCTCAAGTGTTAAGAGTGCTAGCCTTAAGCAAAAAGAAGCTCAGTGACATTGCCCAGGCCCTGAGTTCAACCCCCAGGACTGGCAAAAACAAACAACTGCAAGGATAAAAAGGAGACAAGAAGGAGTCGGATGGGAAGGTGGCTCAGTGGTAGAGTGCTTGCCTCAATCCTCAGATCTCAGCTTCTTGAGTAGCTAGGAGTACAGGTGTGAGCCACTAGCACCAACTGACCAAATTATTTTACTTGATAAATCACAACAAAGACCTCCTACATTGTACAATTAATGTATGCTAATAAAGGCAAGTGGGGAGCTACAAGTGTAGCTCACGTGGTACACACATGTCAAGCAAGCAAGTGTGCCAGTGTAATAAGGTCTTGAGTTGAAACCTCAGAATTGAAAAAAAAAAAAAAAAAATCTGTGGAAGAAAAGACATGGGCTAGGCGTGGTGACTCCAACCTGTAACCTGGGGCTAAGAGCAACTTTGAAAGACTCCATCTCAGACAATGGCACACACGTATCATCCCTGCTATGGGAAAAGTATATTGGTCCATGCTTGTTATCTCTAGCAAGATAGGAAAGCACAATTAGGAGGATGGAGGTCCAGCCAAGCATAGAGACTCTACCTTGAAAATAACCAATGGAAAAGGGGCTAGAGGTATGGCTTAAGTGATAGAGCACCTGCCCATCAAGGGAGAGGCCCAGAGTTCAATTCCCAGTACTGAAAAAAAAAAAAAAAAGTATAAACAGCCTAAATGTCACAGCCACAGCCAGCAATAGGAATTTGGTTAATTTTGATTCACTGACTTCACTGAGATTAATATGTATTCTACAGAGACTCAATAAGGTTTTCACTATTTGTTTTTCTAATTTTTAACCTCTTACCTCAATGTTTCAGGAATGAGTCTATTTTTAAACAACTTAAAAAAGTTTGTGCTATCAAATAGACAAACGGAGAAAATGTTCTTTCCTCACCATCAACTGCTCCTGCTTCAATTGCTGCTGTTTTGCTCTCAGATTCACTAACAGTTGTAGTCATTTCACATTCATCTTCAGACATGGATTTAATTGTCCATAGGGATTTTTGGCTTCGAATCTTATTTAGTAATTTTTTAAAAAGAATTCTTGATGGAATTTGATGAGTCTTCACTGCCAAGGGGAAAAAGAAAGAAAAAAACTCACTTATTTAGTACCTATTATGTGCCAGGCAGAGAGTGTTCTATCATTATACTCAGTTACTGCTATGATCCCTTACTTAAAATAAAAATACAACTTTGGGACTGGAATGTTGCTTATGGTAGAGTGCTTGCCTAGCATGCATGAAGCCCTGGGTTCGATTCCTCCATACCACATACAGAAAAATCTGGAAGCAGTGCTGTGGCTCAAGTGGTAGAATGCTAGCCTTGAGCAAAAGAGCTCAGGGATAGTGCCCAGGCCCTGAATTCAAGCCTCAGGACTAGCAAAAAACCAAAACAAACAAACAAACAAACAAAAACACTCTTGTATTCCTTAATATTACATTTAAGTAGAAAGCATGCTTAAATTTGGCTTTTTCAATAATATACGTGTAACACAAATTTCAAGCTTCAAAACTTAGAATGTTTCTTTTGCTTATTAAATGATTATAAACTACATATTCCTAGTCAATTTGTTGCTAAGATTAGTACCTAAAATATGCTCTACTGATTTCTATACTCATAATTCAAAAACTGCTTTGTAACTTTAAAGCAAATTAAATGCTCCCAAGTTATTCCCAATGTTACTATGTGAGGAAACTTCTCCCTTCTATAGTCATAAAGTACCTTCAATGATCAAAAACAAAAACAAAAGCATTCTTTTATCCAGACTGATGATGTGATGTTAAGAATCAGTAGAGTCAATAATTTTCTTTCTCTTTTTTTTTTTGGTTCTGGTCATGGGGCCTGAACTCTGGGCCTGGGCGCTGTCCCTCAGCTCTTCAGCTCAAGGCTAGCACTCTACCACTTGGGCCACAGCGCCACTTCTGGCTTTTTTCTTTTTGCTTATGTGGTGCTGAGGAATTGAACCCAGGGCCTCATGCATGCAAGGCAAGCGCTCTACCACTGAGCCACCTTCCCAGCCCAAGTCAATAATTTTCTATGGAAACGAAAGTCAGAGTGAAACAGTGCACTGGCTAATCAAAGAATAAAATTAAGAAATCTCCACAGATGAAAACTGGGAAACTAGTTCCTTACCCATAGCTATTCATGAGGCTGTGATCTGAGGACTGTGGTTCCAAGACAGCCTAGGCGGTAAAGTGTCTGATACTCTCATCTCCAAGCAAGCACCAAAAAGCCTGAAGTGGAACTGTGGCTCAAGTGCTAGAGTGCTATCCTTAAGCACAAAAGTTCAGGGATAGCACTCAGGCCCTGAGATCCAGCCCCAGGATCCATACCCATCCACCTATCCCCACCCACAGGATCCACACCCACCCATAAACACAATTTGTAACTGTACTATAGACTTACAAAGTATAGGGAACCTAAGTGCACAGATGGAGCTTAAATGAAGAGTTTCAGACTTTTCTCTGCTCAGGCTGGCTTTCAGCTCCAAAGTCTCAAATCTCAGCCTCCTGAGTAATTAGGATTTCAGGCTTGAGCTACCAGCTGCTGGCAGACAACCCATTTTTAAGAAACAGATTATCAGCATTTTCCTGAGGATTGAACTCAGACACTTGCATATACTAGGCAAGAGCTCTACCACCAATTAGCATTCTGAACTTTAGTTGTCAGTATTTTAAACTAAGAATTTGGCTGAGTGCAGGGGGTTCATTCCTGTAATCCTAGCTACTCAGGAGGCAGAGTTCTGAGAATCATGGTTCAAAGCCATCTGGAGCAGAAAAGTCTGTAAGACTCTTATCTCCAATTAACCACCAGAAAACTCGAAGTGGTGCTGTTAGCCAAAAGTGGTAGAGTGTTATCCTTGAGCAGAAAAAGCTTAGGGACAGCACTTAGGCTAAGCTCAAGCCTCACGACTGACAAAAAATAATACATAAATAAATAAAATAAAAGGCTGAATAAATGGTAGAACATGTTTTGTGGTTTTTTTTTTTTTTGCTGGATGTGGGGCTCCAACTTAGGACTTGGGCTCTATCCCTGAGCCTCTCTGTGCTCAAATCTAGCACTGTACCACTTGAGCCACAGTGCCACTTCTAGTTTTTTGTTTATATGGTACTAAGGAATCCAACCTAGGGTTTCATGTATGCTACGCAAGCACTCTACCACTAAGCCACATTCTCAGTCCTGGTAGAACATCTCTTTAAAGACACTGCTGACTTATTAAGAAAAATGAGATTCTGAAGAAGCCAAAAATGATGTTTCAGTGGGAACCCTAGAAGAAAGGCAAATGAAGCTGGGTGCTGGTGGCTCATGCCTGTAATCCTAGTTACTCAGTAGGCTGAGATCTGAGGATTGTGGTTGAAAGCCAGACAAAGCAGATATGTCTATGAGACTCTTATCTCCAATTAACCACCAGAAAACTGGAAGTGGCTCTGTGGCTCAAGTGGTAGAGTGCTAGCCTTGAGCTGAAGAGTTCAGGGACAGCTCCTAGGCCAAGTTCAAGACCCATGACTGACCAAAAAAAAAAAAAAAAAGACAGGTAAATACTGCAACTACATTGAATTTATGCCAGAGCCAAACATACTTGTTTGGATAGCAATGTAGGCATAGAATAAGTGGATAAGCCAAGAATAAAAGAGTGCCCACCTGAGGAATCTAGTAGACTTATATAAGGTTGGAATCTTAGGGTTGTAACTACACAGTGTGGGGTACAGATAACAAGGAATCTGAGTGGTTTTCAACAGGCAATACTAACAGAGGTATGAGAGAAGGAAAAGAAGTCAATCCAAAAGGACTTGGTCTTTAAGGAGGTATGGAAGTAAAAGAAAGGGGAAGTGTCAAAAAAGAATCCACTAGTGTGGCATGGGAAACTTCAGACTGTGGTACCATTATTCACTAAGATAAGGAAGATAGGAAGAAAAAGTTTCAGTAGGCAAGTGATGATGCTAATTTTTTGCTGGACACTGAAGTATCTGTGGGACTACGTGAACAGTCCAGCATGCTGGAGACAGAGATGAAGGGAAGGCGATAATGTCCATGCATTCATCATTACATAGGAAGTATCCAGGAGGATTTCTAAGCTTAAAAACTGCTGACCATTCAAATGAATTCAGAATTGAGTAGCTAATTAATCTAAGAATCTCCAGATTATGAGCACCTGAAAATAGTAACCCTCACCTAGGCACTCTCTTCCTGTAGGATTGGTCATTCTTTGCACTTAAACCAGAACAGACCTTTCTGTTGGATAGCAGTGGATTTTTTTTTTCCTGTGAAATACTGCCATATTGGGCCTAGAAGGAGCTTTTACCATTTGTTTCAGTAGGACACATTACTGCAGCATCCGTAACTTGAAGGTTCTCAGGTTCTTCTCTATCTTCCCGTTCCATAGAAAGATCCAGTTCTTCATCGTGAATCTGGTCACTCACCATGGGCAAAGGCTCTGGCTCAAGATGCAAAATCAGGTTTCCTCTCACCTCTTAATAATAAAAAGCATAAAATAGAGATGTTTCCATTCTACCATGATTAAAAAGAAGTAGGCCGTTTAAAATCTAAAATGCTAGGGACTCTTTCAAACTGAAAGCTTATTTCAAAATAAGAACTGCTTTACCATCACAGATTTATTTTCCCACTAAAATATTTAACAGCACTGTTGAAAATCTGTGGAAAACATCTTTCCCCTGTCTGACTATACATGTCTTCAACAGCAACCTCCAGCTCTTACTGTCTGCACTGTACATGTCTTCAACAGCAACCTCCAGCTCTTTCCCCGTCTGACTGTACATGTCTTCAATAGCAACCTCCAGCTTTTACCCCTGTCTGTAATGTACATGTCTTCAACAGCAACCTCTAGCTCTTACCCCTGTCTGCACTGTACATGTCTTCAAAAGCAACCTCCAGCTCTCTCTGCCAGTCTTCTTTCACCTCACTTCGTTTGTATGGAAGCTCAATGAGCTGCGGTGGCATCTGGGCCACTGTCTGCCTCCTGCGTGCCAAGTCCTCTTGTTGAAGCTGTTTGAGTTCTTTCAGTACTTTCTCTTGATTCTTTAGAATAAAGAAATTAATGATAGCTTTGTCAAACTCTGGATATTAATCAGCAAGGGAAACAAGTGGGGAAACTATGAGGAACAGAGGACCTACAGCTTCCTTTTCTCCCTTATTGTTCTGCACCAAAAAAATTACATTAATTAATTTAGGAATTCAACAAATATTTGCTGAATGTCAGCAAATAGGGGAGCAAACTAGGGGAAAAAACCCTCAACCCAGCATGCAGTGGGTGAGCCCAACAGGTAGGATTTTGTTACTACTATGAGAGAGTAGCTCTGGCCAGATCACAGAGCTTCAAGCATCTGCCAACTACTGTTCTCCTTTCTGAAGAAAGTCAGTAAGTTACTTTTAACATGAAGTTGCCATGGCTCCTACAATGTACTCCATACACAGACAAATACTAAGACCCAGAGTAACTCTGGCTTAACAATGATACTTCTTGTTATTCCATGTTCTTAATATTCCATCACTAATGGGGGTCTGCATCTCTCTGTAAGCTTAGAATATAGCCAACAGGAGAGGTTAAGCACAGTGTTGTCAGCAGAAGTTAAGAAGAGAGACAGGAAGACTGCTCAGTCTGTGGAATGAGAATTTAGTAGTCAATGTGAGTGAAGTAGTAGAAGTAAAAAGGAAAAAAATACTGCAGCACAAAAGTATGGCAATGAAGACCTGGGGTATTTAGAGAACACACACTGTTTAGAGTAAGGGAAGGAAAAAACCAAAATAAACCCAGGAGAGATAGATCATAGCCACACACAATGCAGAACAGACCAATCAGGAAAATAGTCACAACAGGTACCACAGCAAAATGGTTCAGACAGGGAAAAGGAAGTATGCCAGTACTAAGAGTACTCCATGTTAAACAAACATTCATATGTAAGAAGCACAAAGTGTATAGTAAAGTGGAAGTGATAAAGAACCAAATGAGAATACATTTATTTACATAAAAATTCAAATCATCTCAGTAAATTATCTGAGTAAGTGTACTACTATAACTCACTAAAAGGAAAGCAAATAACAGTGATCATTACACCACCAACATTTACTGTGAACTTTGGAAACTCCATGCACATTCCCTACAGGCTTTACAAGATCATTATCTCCTTAAAAAGCCCCTGGAAAAGATCTCAGAAAGGCTGAGTAACTTGTTTGAGATCAAATAACAATTAATAAAGAGGAGAAGTAATCCTTGCAAGTTGGAGCCACCAGCCACACAAAACTGCTATAGAAGAATGGATTCAATTTACCATTGCTTCTTATATGTATTTTTTCTATAGCTTTAAACCTTAGACTAAAGATAATTCCTTTATTTCAGTCATAATTACCCAGTTTACGAAAGCCAAAACTGTAAGGAAAATGATCATAATTTTGTTCAAGTTAATCAAATGATTTTTTTTTAAAAAAATAAGCATTTAATTTTCACAGAATTAAAAACTCATACCTAAGGTGGGTATTTAAAATATCCAAGTACATTAGTCAAATTCAGAAAATGAAATTACGTTTTTATTTCAAGGATAAGTTTTTAAGGATGAATTATTTTTAGGCTGTGTTTCAAGAATCAAAATAACGTAAGTAAGGCCAAATTATTTTTACTCTGTGTTTCAAGAATCAACACAACATAAGTAAGGCCGAAACCGTAGTTCCCTGGTCTACAATATTTGCTTTTTCAGAGCTCTTTGACAGCCACGACTGTGACTTTTCTTTTGTAGGTTGTGGGGCTTAACTCAGGGCTAGGGCACTATCCCTGAGCTCTTTTGCTCAAGGCTAACACTCTACCACTTTCAACCACAGCTCCATTTCTGATTTTTGAGTGGGTAATTGAAGGGGGACTTTTCTGCCTCGGCTGGCTTCGAACTGCAATCCTTAGATCTCACCTATCTGAGTAACTAGGATTATAGGCGTGAGACACCAGTGCCCTGCTGCATTTACTTTTTAATCAATATACTGCAAAGCCAGTTGCTGTTTTGCTCAATAAACATTTAATAAATGGAATCCTTAAATTTATACAGCACGTATGCACAATTAACTATATTCAGAAAGTAATTAATAGTTTCAGGTTATTTTGGGATTGAAATAACCTTTAAGAAAATCATTAGTAAAATTTTAGAATTTACGCTGTGAGAACAGCGTAATCTAACCTAAACTTGAACTAGCAGGACAAGGGAAGTGGGAAACTTGAAATCAGATTAATCTGATATATTTAACATCCTTCCTTATCCTCCCCAATTGAGCTCATTCACTAATCAGGTCTGTAACACCACCAGTAGTAGTCACAAGTACAAGTTGAGTCTTACCTGGGCCAAATGGATCTTTTGCATAGCTTGGAAACCCCGTGCCCATGCCTTCTCAAATTGCTCCATTCTCTCTTGTGCAGCTTGCCTCTGTAGTACTTCCAATCGGGTAGCTTCTTTTTCAGCAGCCAAATGAGCATCTGGCTAGCAGTCAATCAAGAATATTTTAAATAATTTTTTTCTTTAAATTGTGAGACAAAGAATTAGCTCAAAATAAAAATAACCTTAAAAATACTTTCCTATTTATTAAAATTAAGAGGCCCACAATTAATCAACTGCAAAGTGATAAAAAAAAAAGGACAAAATCAGTATAGTTTTATAATTTCAAACCAAATTAAGCTTTACTCATCTAAACATATTCCTTAATATTTCTGAAGTAAAGAAATTGCGGAAAGAGGGCTAGGAACCAGGTGGCTCAGTGGTAGAGCGCTTGCCTTGCATGCATGAGGCCCTGGGTTCGATTCCTCAGCACCACATAAGCAAAAAGAAAAAAGCCGGAAGTGGCGCTGTGGCTCAAGTGGTACAGTGCTAGCCTTGAGCTGAAGAGCTGAGAGACAGCGCCCAGGCCCAGAGTTCAGGCCCTATGACGGGACCAAAAAAAAAAAAAAAGAAATTGCTGAAAGATAGTGAAAATCCTACAGCATTTAAGATTACATAGTAATTAAGGGAAACAGTTTTTGTCTTTGGTTTGCAGCCAACATTGCCTGAAACTGAAGAGGTCATAGGACATTGTGACTATCAAAAAAAGAAAGCTAGTGTATACCGGTGGCTCATGCCTGTAATACTAGCTACTCAGGAGGCTGAGATCTGAGGATCTTGGTGGCAGGAACCTCCATGAGACTCTCATCTCTAATTAACCACCAGAAAACCAGAAGTGGCACTGTGGCTCATGTGATAGAGTACTCGCCTGGAGTTGAAGAGCTCAGGGACAGCACCCAGGCTCAGAGTTTAGCCTCACAACCATCAATAACAACAAAAATCAAATGCAGCACTTTCAGCATTATCCTACATGAATGGAGAGGCAGAAAAAAAAGTCTTTCTTCATCACTCTTAAATACTGCAAAAACTGTAGATATTGAAATCATAACATTATACAATTTTAAATAAATCTTAAGTAAGTGAAGTCTTCAATCTTAGAAGCCCATTCTATAATGATGATACTTACCTTTGGTACATTGACTTTAACACCAGCTATTAAGAAGTCAGCCAAAATATCTATTTGTTGCATTCTCTTTATTTTCCCTTTTTTCTCTTTCAGTGCTGGGGACTTAACACAGGTCCTCACATGCTAAGCAACTGGAAAGTTCTCTACACTTTGGCCATACTTCAGCCCATATTTGCTTTATTCTAAACCCCATATGAATACTACATTGATAGTTTACTTTCCTACTAGCCAAATATATAAAATATAAAAAAATTAAAAAATAAAATCTATAGTAGTCATAATAACAAAAATATCATTTGTCACTCGAAGCTGGTAATCTCTTTTTTTGGGGGGAGGGGGTGCAATTCCAGGGCCTAAACTCAGGGCCTGTGTGTTGTCTCTGAACTTTTTTGTTCAAAGCTAGAGCTCTAATACTTGAGCCACAGCTCCACTTCCGTCTTTGTGATGGTTAATTGTAGGTAAGAGTCTCACAGGCTTTCCTGACCAGAAAGGAGGGAAAAAAAGGTAGGCTTCAGACCAAGATTCTTAGGTCTCAGCCTCCTGAGTAGCATGAGTCACCAGTGCCAGATGGCAATCATTTTTAAGCCATAACTTCCTCCATATGACAAGGGTGTATAAAAGCACCATTCTCATAGATACTTTATAAAAAGCAATTCAATGATCTGCATTAAGTATTATAGTTAGGAATCAAAAACTGCTCTTCTAGAATCTAGTCTTTCAAATGCTATGGATATAAATGTGCATTATTTAAAGAAGTAAAACCCAAAATAATGAGTTAAATAAACCCAATGATTAATACTAAGTGACTATTAAAAATCATGTTTTGAAAAGTACACGTATATATATATATATATATATATATATATATATATATATATATATATATATATATAAAGACTAAGATTAATTCATTAAGGTATTAACCAAAATATACTTTTGGTGATATAATAATTAGCACTTAACCATAGTTACCATGTACAAATCTAAAATTTTCACCACAAAGACCACTATTTATGATAAAAATTTTTTAAATCAAATTTAGAGAATCATAAAACCCATTATTTTGTACACTTAATGAGAGCAAGAAAATCTATTTTGAAAGAACCAGTGAAACAGCCATTATACACCTGACATGAAAACTCAAAAACATATTTAAGAGGCTTTGATACCTATTATGCTAGCATAGCCTTTAAGTAAAACTGTTTAAAATTTGAAATCTGGCAACATTAGACATAGAACCATGATATAACTCAATTCAGTGAACACAGAAGAAAGAAAAAGTCAATCACCTCTGATGTATCCATCTGTCTATTCACAAATGTGGACATATGATGGTAGGTAGAACTATTGGTTTTCACTGAAGAAATCTTTTTTATTTCAATGTTCTGCGAAGAGGAATATAAAACATAGATGTTCAGATTAACAGAGTTAACATTCACTGACAGCTGGATCCTAATTGTGTTTTAATTATGCTATGGTTTGTCCTCTTCTAAATCTTACACTTAGTCCCCATTATGAGATATTACTGGGGGCCAGGTGGAACCTCTGGGAGGCTCTCCTTTCAGGAGCAGACTAATCCTCTCAATTTTTTCCAGAGTTGCTATACAAGGCAGTCTGGCACACTCCTTGATTCTGGCCATGTAACACTCCTCACCAAATGAGCTCTGCCACTGTAAAGAACAACATCAGACTGTGTCTAAGTCCCTCAACCTTGGACCATACACCAAAACCTTTTTCTTTTCTCTGTAACATGCCTAGTGTATGGCCTTGTGTCATTAGTGACAGAATATGGATTGAAAATTAGCTGTAAGCTCATTTGAGATGAGCTAAATATCCTACAAGAAACTTTTTACTAGAGCTAAATTATTTCAAATTTTTATGGAAGTACTAGATGTCCAGTACTTCAAAACATCTTCTAGCTGTCTTTTACTTCACTTCAAATTTCAAGTTAAAGAGATGTTTTACACACACACACATCCCCCCCTCCCCCCACCCGCCGCCTCAGACTAGGGATTAAGCTCATGGCCTCATATATGCTAGATAGTCATACTTCCTTCCTCTGAACTTCATTGCCAATGAGATTTTTTTTTTGGTAGTACTAGGGTTTGAACTCAAGAACCTCATGCTTGGTAAGCAACTAATCTAGACCTTCAGTCAGACATCTAGCCCCTTTTTGCTTTAGTTATTTTTTGGGTATGTCTCACATTTTTTTTCTTGGGCTGGTCCCATCCAGAATCCTCCTACCTAAGGCTTCCCAGGATAGCTGGGACCATAGATATATACCATTATGCCTCACATATTAAGAGATAGGCTGGCTTTAATCTGTGATCCTGAGAATCTCTACCTCCAAAGTAGCTGGGATTACAGGCATGAGTTTACTGTACTTGGCAAGGTATTCCATATGTAAATAAAAACCAGAAAAGCCCCCAGACTATTATGTTTTTTCCATACTGTTATTATGTTATTATGTCTTTTCCATACTGAGTCATAAAAATCATAAAAATTCCACTGTAGTGCATATCAGTTCACTTCTCAATGTTTAATGACATATTTTGTTTTGGTGTTGAGGCCCTGGCCAATTAATTTAAGTATACTAATTAGGAACAAAATAATTCTCACAAAGCTGAGACAAATTACTACTCCTACTTTCCTACATTGTGTCATAAAAGCAGATTTGGTCTATCACATTTTGCACTGGCATCTAGTTAACTCAAACACAAAATCTCTTAATTACCTACTGTATGATGATACTGAAAAGTAAAATAAAATAATGGTCCCTGCCTTTAAGGAGCTCAAAGTAACGGTTCTAATAATACAACATTTTACATCTAACATGGTGAAAGAAATATTTACAAGGAAATGCTAATGCTTCTGCCGACTTTCTTCTGCACTAGGCTAGCCTGTCTTTTCAAGTAGGTATACAGTTTTTCTTGTAACAGAGTCATTGTGACAATTTTTGTCCTAACTGATTTCTAAGAAAACTCGTAAAAACTGCAAAGTGTAGACACTGACACAAATTTAACACAAGCTTGAAGGAAGAAAAGTGTAAGAGTGGATTGAAAGTGGATGCTAAATCCAAAAGGTTAGGTGATACGACAAAACTCACAGGACTTAAGAAACAAAGAACTCCCGCTCATCTGGTTGAACCACTACTAAATATCCCCATGCTGCTGATCACAAATATGGTATATAACATGTGAACACTGTTATATATTACAGACTGTGGTAGACAATTTGCTCCAGGGAAGTTAGAATGAACTTGTGACTTTGAAATTATGTAATCATTTAATCACAATCAAAAAAAAAAAAAAAGAACCTCGGGGAAGGGAGGGAGGGAGGGGATGGTAGGGGGAAAACAATGGAGGGGGTAACAATGTTCAAGAGGAAGTGTACTCATAACCTCACTCATGTAACTGTAACCCTCTGTATAGTAGCTTTACAATAAAAAAAAAAAAAAAAAAAAAGAACAGCAACAACAACAAAAAAATCTTCTAAGAGAGCACAGGAATGGAGGGAAAAAGGGAGGATGAGAAAAAAAAAAAAAGAGTGGATTGAGAATCAGATTTAGCTTTAATGTAGAAAACTGAGCAATAATTTTTTTTAAAAAAAGAAACAATAAATGGGGCTATGGCTTAAGTGGTAGGGCACTAGTCTTGATGTGAAGAGTTGAGGGACAGCACACAGGCAGGCCCAGACTTCAATCCTCATGACCAACCAAAAAAAAAGAAGAAATAATACTAAGAAAATGGGACAAAGGTGGTATTAACAAAAACTAATATAACCAGTAACTAGAGTATTATTGTCTGAACTGCTTTAAGAAAGTGGGGACAAACCGGCCCTCTACTAAGCCAATTAAAATCAGAATCTTTGGGATGGTGGGATGGAGCCTGGCACAAGCTTTCAGATGATAAATATCTGGCCAAAGCTGAAAATGAGTTGTAGCAACCTGCTGTACCACCAGAAAAAGGGGAAGGAAGAAAATGCGAAAGAACAGAAAGAAAATGAAATTACAAAGAAGAAATTCAGAGATAATAATAATACACTAACTTATATCAGAGAAGAATGTTCCACTCCACAAAAGATCTTGCTAGCTTCAGAAATATGATCCTCAGGGTCTCAATCTCCTGAGTAGCTAGGGTTACAGGAATGTGCCAAAGGCGCCTAGCCACTCAGTAACTTTTAAAGTCAATGCTTCAAAACCAAAGCAAACCAAAACAAACCAAAACCAAACCAGCCAAGCACAGTGGCTCATGCTTGTAATCCTAGTTATTCAGGATGTTGAGATCAAAGGATCTCAGTTCAAAACCATCCCGGGCAGAAAAGTCCATGAATTTCTTATCTCCAATTAACTACCAAAAAGCCAGAGGTGGAGCTGTGGCTCAAGTGGCAGAGTGCTAACCTTGAGCAAAAAAGCTCAGAGACAGAGCTCAGGCCCTGAGTTCAAGCCTCTCAGGACTGCCATACATGTCCACATACAAACGTACACATATATACGCAAGCAAAAAAAAAAAACACCAAAAAACCAAAAAACTCCAAAAACCACCAAACAGACTTCTTTATGTAATTGGAATAAAAATAAGATTTAATTCATAATTCCTAATGGCCAGTACTTCCAGAAAAATAAAGGCATAAATGGACATACTACACACACACACACACACACACACACTCTCTCTCTCTCTTCCCAAAACTGGGGCTGCATTTTAAAGGTTAAATTACCATCAATTCTAGGAAGGTTCTGGGGCTCATGCCTGTAATCTGAGCTACTCAGAAAGCTGAGACTTGAGCATTACAGAATATGGACAATATGCCAATATGGACAGAAAAAGACTCCAATTAACTGGCAAAACACCCCTGGATATATGTGGCTCAAGAGGCAGAGCACTAGCCATGAGTGAAAAACCCAAGCAAGAACATGAGGCCATGCATTCAAGATTCAGTGTCTGCACATATCCGTGCACACCCACATATTTACACACTCAAAATTATCACCAAATTGAGCAAAACTAGGCAATACATGAATAAGTATTGCCTTTTTTTATTATTATTATTATTTTGGATCTGGTCATGGGGCCTGAACTCTAGGCCTGGGCGCTGTCCCTCAGCTCTTCAGCTCAAGGTTAGTGCTCTACCACTTGAGCCACAGCGTCACTTCCGGCTCTTTTCTTTTTGCTTATGTGGTGCTGAGGAATCGAACTCAGGGCCTCAGGCATGCAAGGCAAGCGCTCTACCACTGAGCCACCTTCCCAGCCCAGTATTGCTTTTTTTTAAGTCTACATATCAGGAGTAAGATTGTTACCGGTATACATTAGTTATACAAGGGATTTTTCATGGTAACATTTCCATACATGAATACAACATCCCCATCTTCACCTCCTCCACTCTCCCTTACTTCCCCTCTTTCCAACACATCCTCCACCAGTCTCACTGTTCTACTTTCATAGATGTAAATAAGCTGTTTTAATCACTGATCCTCATTCATCTCCATGTTAGCAGATCTACAGCTCTCACTGAGATTCTTTTTTTTTTTTAATTTAATTTGTGAACATACTGTACAGAGGGGTTACAATTACATGGGCAGGATAATGCGTACATTTCTTACCAAGCATTGCAGCCTCCTCCTTTGTTTACCCTTCACATCCCTTCCCAGCCTCCCCCCTCCCCCCCAATCCCAATCCTTCTCACTGAGATTCTTTATGCCATTTTCCTATATAGTTGTAATGTACTGCACAATTATTCATCATCCATACTTAGTCTTCCCTTTGTCCTTGTCCCTCAGAAAGAATTATATTGTACATGTATGCACATATACTCCAGATACACTCAAATGTTACTTACACAATTAAAGATTAAGTTTTGTTTTTGTGCTAGTCTTGGGGCTTCAACTCAGGGCCTGTGCATTTGTCCCTGGGATTAGCACTCCATCCCACTTGAGCAACAATCCATTTCTGGCTTTTTAGTGATTAATTGGAAGTAGAAGTCTCATTGACTTTCTTGCCCAGGTTGGCTTTGACCCATGATCCTCAGATCTCAGCCTTCTGAGTAGCTAGGATCACAAGAATAATCCACTTCTGCTCAGCTAAACATTTAAGTTTAAACAAATGATAAACTCCAATAAAATTTAAACATCATGAATTATTATGAACTAATTCCTCTCAGAGCTCAAAGTAATTTACCTCAAAAGGAGCTGGAGGAGGAATTGGCAAGCTTGTAATTTTGGCAGATCTCTCCTTTTCCACAAGCAATGCTTCCTTCCGAGCATTTATATGCCTTAAAAAACAAGAGATCATCACTTAATCTCTCAGGTTCTATCAGAGTTAGAAACATCAAAGGCATAGACTCTAGCCTAAGCCTACCGGCTTAGCACACTATATAACAAAAGCCCATCCATAGTGGACATTACCAACTGGAAGACGCCAATCTACGGAAAACTCTATAACATTTTCACAAACATCTAGTATTCTTTAGAACAGTTACAAAGTACATATCAAGTAAGATGGGCCACTGTACAAACTGACCATCAGACACCATTAAAACTCTTCTTCTTCTTTTTTTTTGTCAGTCATGGGACTTGAACTCTGGGCCTGGGCGTTGTATCTGAGCTCTTCAGCTCAAGGCAAGTGCTCTACCACTTGAGCCACAGCACCACTTCCGGTTTTCTGGTGGTTTATTGGACTCTCATGGACTTTCCTGCCCAGGCTGGCTTTGAACTGCGATCCTCAGATCTCAGCCTCCTGAGTAGCTAGATTACAGCCATGAGCCTCTGGTGCCCGGCATTTTTAAAACATGAAGAAAACCCCCAAAACAAAGAAAACCAACCTAATGACATCCACAAGGTCTACAAGCTGTCCTAATGTTTTTTGTTTTTTTTTTACATTTTTAAAAATTATTAGATCTTTAAGTAGTTGTACAAAGAAGTTCCCATTCTACAAAACAGTACATGAGTACAAGGTGTCTGATAACATTGTCACCCATTGCGCCTAACCCATTGTCCTAACATTCTTAATCGCATCAATTTTATTTCCCTTTTACATCAGAGACAGACATATTTTAGATTTTGGCTACCTTACATTCTGAGTAGTCCATCCATTTCTGCAGAACGTTCAGACTACAACATGGCAATACTCATCAGTTATCACAAGTAAACCTTTCCCCCACTGCACTGTTTTAAATGTACTTTAATAATGCAGTGGATACACTATATGACTTTTACGTAATAGGCTTACATAATATCTTTTTTGCCAGTCCTGGGGCTTGAACTCAGGGCCTGGGCTCTGTCCCTGAGCTTCTTTGCTCAAGGCTAGCACTCTACCACTTGAGTCATAGCGCCACTTCCGGCCTTTTCTGTCTATGTGGTACTAAGGAATCGAACTCAGGGCTTCATGCATGCTAGGCAAGCACTCTACCACTGAGCCACATTCCTAGCCCACACAATATCATATGTACTCTTTTTTCAACAATGTTAGCTATGGTTGAAAATAATATGGTAAAAATTACACTACCAGGTTTTCTGTTTCAGAGACATTTCTTTTTGAATTTTCTGTAATTTCAGGGCTTCTCTATGTCTCACTTCTGCTTTTTTCTTCCTTTCTGCTGCTCGCCGTGCCACAGCATCCAAATCTGGTTGCTAAAAGCACATATTACTTAAAATGTCATGTTAAACAAATGCATCTATATTTCATATCAGTATAGACATTACTTATTTTTGTCATCTCTGCCCTCATGCTACCCAGTACCTCCCAAAGCATAATAATAATAATAATAATATCACCAATCATAGGCTACAACAGAAGCAAGGACAAACAGAAGCAAGCTAACAGAGTTCAAACAAGAAAACATGCTAAATATACAGTAATACTTGGGTGTCTCTCAGCCAGGGAAAAACCATTCAGTGCCACTGAAATGACCAAGGTTGGAGAAAACTGCACCGAAGTACAAAGTGGTGTGTGTGTGTGTGTGTGTGTGTGTGTGTGTGTGTGTGTGTGTGTGTGTGTGTGTGTGTGTGTGTGTGTGTGTGTGTGTGTGTGTGTGTGTGTGTGTGTGTGTGTGTGTGTGTGTGTGTGTGTGTGTGTGTGTGTGCGCGTGCGCTGGTATGGAGGCTTGAACTATAGGCCTCAGCTTCTCTCGCTTGTCTTTTTCTGCTCAAGGCTGGCATTCTACCACCTGAGCCACACTTCCACTTCTGGCTGTAACTGGTGTGTGTGTGTGTGTGTGTGTGTGTGTGCGTGCGTGCGTGTGCGCGCTGGTATGGAGGCTTAAACTATAGGCCTCAGCTTCTCTCGCTTGTCTTTTTCTGCTCAAGGCTGGCATTCTACCACCTGAGCCACACTTCCACTTCTGGCTGTAACTGGTGACAAGAGTCATGTTTCGTGGACTTTTCTGCCAGGGCTGGCTTCAAATTGCAATCCTCAGATCTCAGTCTCCTGATTAGCTAAAGCACAAAAGTTAATGGTGCAAAATCTGACATCAAAGCCACAAAAAGCTAATGTCAGAACCTAGGGCTATTACTAAAAACATAGATGAAAACCAGGAGAAAAATAGGCTGCTTAAAGATATTTGTTTTTTCTACTAAATGTTACCACAGATTCGTCTTCCTTGGAACCAGCCTGTTTACTGTGTGACTGAGGCTAAGAAGCATACTATTTTCTTTTTTTTGGGGGGTCCGGTCGTGGGGCCTGAACTCTGGGCCTGGGCGCTGTGCCTCAGCTCTTCAGCTCAAGGCTAGTGCTCTACCTCTTGAACCACAGCGCCACTTCCGGCTTTTTTCTTTTTGCTTATGTGGTGCTGAGGAATCGAACCCAGGGCCTCAGGCATGCAAGGCAAGCGCTCTACCACTGAGCCACTTCCCAGCCGAAGCATACTATTTTCTAACCATAAGTGACAATAAACAAATAAAAGTAAGTCAAGGAACAGCCTTAAAAAGGGAATAAACTCTTTTGCCATTCTGTTATCAGTTTTTCTATCTAAATATGAAATGTAAGTGTATTTATGTTCACCCAGATACTCAACATATCAAGAATGGTACTAAAATTGGAAATCTAAATTGGAATCTGTCCAAAATGCTTAAGAAGTTTTGATTTAAAAAGCTATTGCTTGATTTACACAAATGGAGAAAATATGGAAGAGTGCTAATTCAAGCATCATAGGAATAAGTATTTTACTTGATATGATTTACTAAGAAATGCACATAATATTATTTTCAAGTTATATTAAGCAAAAGAAGTTGTCTGAGGCTGCTCAAAGCAAATTCAAAATACACAGATCTACAAACATTACACAATATCATTTACTCTGACAAAATATCACTGCTACAACCAATCAAGTAGTCAAATAAGGTCACTCACATTTTCTTTGGCTTGCCGATGTCCCTTTCCCATCTCTCTTAAACTTGCCAAATACAATTTTTCCAAGTTTTGTATTTTCTGAGTTTGGGCTTCTTCCCATTGTGCCCTGAGCTCCTCTGCCAAACGAGTTAAGTGCTCGTTCCTCCTCTGCTTTATGTCTTCTCTTATCTGTAAGGCGATGTCCCTTTCTTGCTCTCGAACCTGGAAGATGAGTATTGAGTACAAGGCTCGCAAAGTCTCTTAATTTTGGTTTTTACACTTGACTCTAAACCCCTAGAGGAACAGGCACTACCATCTTAACAATCTATAAGAGGCTAAGATAGTAATATGAGAAAAAAATTCAGGGCTCAGAAGAGCTCTAACAGCCAGACAAGAGCTCCATTTCTAGTGGACAACATCTCCAATTCTAGACACAATCACATCTAAAGCGTACTTCACAAAGACTCCATTCTTATTCTCCACTGCCAGAACAGGATAATAATCTATAATTTCCTGAGAAATCATCTAATAACAAAGCCAATAATCTTTCCAATATATTTTCTTCAAAGTCAATCTAAACTTCCTATTTTAATTTCTGCCAACTTCAGATCATTTAAACTGGAATTATTTTCTAATATTTATTGAGTTACACATCTACCCTCCAACTCATCTCTAATCTACTTACCATTTTTTTTTCAAAATGTTCCAAACCTGGTTAATACACAAGAACTAGTGCTCTTATATAAAAAAAAACACTTAAATGAAGTATTTCATTTAAACACTCCAATGAGAAACACATGATTTGAGGAACATAAAGAAGTTAAAATAAATCCCAATAAATCATACCTGTAGCAATCTTAGTTTTCGTCTTCTTTCATAATCTTCCTTCAAAATGCAAGCTTCCTCATTAGGACTTAATCTCAGCTTTCCAGCATTCACTACTTTTCTCTTCATTTCTGTGTATTTTAAATATAAATGATCTGAATTGAAAGAAAATAAAAATATCTATAAAGAGATCAAATATTGAGCTGGAACTGTGGCCGAAATAGAGCTCTGGTCTAGCAAGTGTGAGGCCCTAAGTTCACTTCCCACAAAGAAAAGATTATTGGATAATGATTGAATAGGGTAGCAGACATTAAAATAATTTAAAAAATTCATATTCATACTTATGACAGTTAAAAGGCTCACGTCTGTAATCCTAGCTTCTCAGGAGGCTGAGATCCGAGGATCTCAGTTCAAAGCCAGCCCAGGCAGGAAAGTCCGTGAGACTCTTTTTTTTTTTTTGTCCGTGAGACTCTTATCTCCAATAAACCACCAGAAAACTGGAAGTGGCTCTGTGACTCAAGTGGTAGAGCACTTGAGCTGAAGGACAGTGCCCAGGCCCCGAGTTCAATCCCCCTGACTGACCCAAAAAAAACCCCAAAAATGGCTATGCACATACAAGTAAAATAATGGGGCGGGGAGGGGTAAAACAAGAAAGAGCCAGCTTATTTACTAATAATTATAAATCCAGCCTTTGGATCTCAGAACAATGGTTAAAAAGAAGTAAAGAATGAAACAGAAAGGTTTGGTAGAGTTCGCCTCTACTTGTCGCATACTATTTACCTAGAATTATCTGAGATCTGACTTACTCCTATTGGCATTTTCAGTTTACTTCATTTGAATGAAAAAGCAGAAGTCCAATGTGGCTGGCTCACATTTATAACTGTAGCTAATCAAAGGGCTGAGACAGAGGATCAGTATGAAGCCAACACTGTGGTTGGCAGAAAAGTCTAAGAAACTCCTCCAAAATAACCTACAAAAAGCAGAAATGAAGGCTCAAGTGGTCTAGAACTCCAGCTGAACAAGCAAGCTGAGCTATATCCATCTGCTGGGTCTGTTGTAAATAATTGGAGTGCCAAGCATCACTGCATCTCATAACTGCAGCAATCCCATGGGCTTATTCTACAGCAAATTATTCTTTAATAATTACAAAGGTATCATTGATCACTTTAAAAATCTCTATTAGGCTGGACACCGATGGCTCATACCTGCAAGCTTAGCTATTCAGGAGGCTGAGCTCTGAAGATTGCAGTTCAAATCCAGCTTGTGTAGAAAAGTCTGTGAGAGGAAAGACTTTTTTTTTGTCAGTCATGAGGCTTGAACACAGGACCTGAGCACTGTCCCTGAGCTCTTTTGCTCAAGGCTAGCGCTCTACCACTCTAAGCCACAGCACCATTTCCAGCTTTTAAGTGGTTAGTTGGAAATAAGAATCTCATGATGACTTTTTTTCCTGGGCTGGCTTTGAAGTGTGATCCACAGATCTCAGCCTCCTGAGTAACTGGGATTACAAGCAAGGATCACTGTTCCCGGATGAAAGATTAATCATCAAAATTAGTCATCTCCAATTAATCATTAAAAAAGATGGAAGTGGGGGCTGGGAAGGTGGCTCAGTGGTAGAGTGCTTGCCTTGCATGCCTGAGGCCCTGGGTTTGATTCCTTAGCACCACATAAGCAAAAAGAAAAAAGCCGGAAGTGGTGCTGTGACTCAAGTGGTAGAGTGCTAGCCTTGAGCTGAAGAGCTGAGGGACAGTGCCCAGGCCCAGAGTTCAAGCCCCATGACTGGACCAAAAAAAAAAAAAGATGGAAGTGAAGCTGGAGCGCAAGTGTAAAAGAGATGGAAGTGAAGCTGTGGCTCAAGTGGTATTGGTTTAATCTTGAGCAAATAAGCTTAGGGACAGAGTTCAAGTCCGATGACAAGAACAAAAAACAAAAAATAAAACAATACTCACTTCTATTAGAATAATTCATTTGGATGTGGTATTTAGATGAACCAGATGTATTTCTACTTTCACACTGGGGATTTTCACTTTGAACTGTGATTTTCAGATCTCAGTCTCCTGAGTAGCTAGAATTACAGGTGTGAGCCACTGGTGCTGGCATCATGACTTTATCTTAAGTCTCTTTCTCAGGCCTCTTTACTATGACAAGCTATACTCCTGCACACTTCAACCTTTGAAAGTAGCTGAAGCCTGCCACTTCCATGATGCAGTCTTCTAGTAAATGCTGCTCTGCTCATCCATTCTTGCCCTATCCAGGTATAATGCATATTACCTTCTACTGTTGTCTTGGTATTACTTCTTCTAGTTTTTGATCAATTTTCCTTTTGTAGATATATTCTTAATAATTGAAAGATGGTGGCTGTCATTCAAAAAAAATCTTACACATGTAACCTCAGCACTCAGGAGGCAGGCAGAAGGATTCTGAGTTCAAGGCCAACCTGATATATATAGCAACACAAGGGCTGGGAAGATGGCTCAGTGGTAGAGTGCTTGCCTTGTATGCATGAGGCCCTGGGTTTGATTCCTCAGCACCATATAAACAGAAAAGGTTGGGAGTGGTGCTGTGGCTCAAGTGGCAGAGTGCTAGCCTTGAGCTGAAGAGCTGAGAGACAGGGCCCAGGCTCAGAGTCAAGCACCACGACCGACCAGAAAAAAATAAAAAACAACCCCTCCTCTCCCCCAAAAAGCTGGAAAGTAGCTCAGTGGTAGAGAATGTGCTTAGCATGTGTGATACCCTGGTTTCGATAGCTGACACAAAATAAAAAAATATTAAACTAAAACTAATATTAATTACTGTTAACATTATGTCCACCTTTGGTGCTCAGCTCCATCCATACCTGAGCTCCTCCCAGCCCTGGAATTCCTGCCCTACAGCTGGCTACTCCCTCTCCACCTAGACCTACCTGAGCATGCACCTACCTCACTCTCCCCACCTCCCATGTACTCCAGCTCCTGGGAAATACAGTCCCTCTAATAAACCTTATAATTAACGTTCTCGTGTGCCTGCTTGCCTCTGGGTGGTCCCAGGATGGATGTGAAGGAGCCTTTCATTTGGTGCCAAAACCGAGGATAGGTTCCCTGGTGGATTTGCTCCCTGCTCCACTTCGGGTGAGGGTCCAACCAGCTGCCCAGGGACCTAGCCTGCAATCCTACACTCCAGCCAGAGTTGGACCACCTAGGTAATTTTCTTCTGACCACGCCCTCTACCTGCTGCCCATCCAACACCAGCTAATTAAGTCCTACCCCAACGTAAGTGACCAGTTGACCAGAGATCTGGGTTTCCAATTTCTGTATTTCTATAGTAAGGCCACTTGGGCCTTGGTGGGCTACTAAGCCCTGCTCTGAGCAAAATGTCGGCCAAGTGCCCAGAACTCACCGCAAGGGCCCCAATGATCTGAGAACTGTGGTTTGAAACCAGCCAGGCAGAGAAACAGAGAAAGGTCCCTGTGAGACTGTCATCTCTAATCTGCCAGCAGAGTACTGAAAAGTGGAGTTGCTTAAGAATTCAAAGTGGCAGAGTGCTAGCCTTGACCTGGAGAGCTGAGGGATAGCACTCAAACCCTGAGTTCAAGTCCAGCAACCGACCAAGGAGAATGCCAAAGATGCATTTATCCCAGCCTGGAGAAAGGCACTCTGGGGACCCTGGCAATGTTTCAACATCCAGAGGCAATTACAAACAACCACATGGATGGCAAAAATGGTGTCAGATCCTGGAGTCACTTGTGCTTGGCCCTTCAAAAGCTGATCAGAGCCAGGAGGTCATGGGAAGATAAGTTTGTAAGCATGCTTTCCTAATGCCCATATCTGTCTAACTGGGCAAGAACTTGCCAGTCATCTGTGATAGTGGGTAGTAAACGCTAAGGTTGTAAAATGTGAGGGATAATTTAAATCCCAACCCCCCTGTATCTGCTCAAAGTCCTAATTGGTAGTGACTTGAACTGGCACCAGCCATATAAATTCATCTGCCAAGGAAAGAAAGTTTGTAGACCTGAGGTTAGGTCCCTGTTGAGATCTGTCTAAAGGCCTACACAGGTAGGCATTGTTGGTGTCACTAGAGATCAGGTTCCTCAACCATCCAGAAAAATGCTTCTGCAAACCATAGTGCTAAACAGCCTATGCTACTATAGCCCAAGAAAAGGTCTGTACATCTGTTAAAAATTAACTGTTGAATATAAGCCATTTTAAACAGGCTGCCCAGGGGCAATGGGCAGTACTTAGAATGCCAATCAGTTGCAATTTAAAAATATCTACTGCGATGTTATTACAAAACTCCGGCAAGTAATTGTTAGTCAAACTGTTAACAAGTTATAGGTAACCTCTATCTCCATTGATCTCCTTGTTGTTTTAACTGGAAATAAAAAGGGCTTTTGTGACAAAGACTCCTTTTGCAACAGTTCAAACCCAGCCCACGCACAACTCCATCTCCTGACTAATTAGTAAAGACCCAGGCTGGAAGCTGGCTCAAGAGACTCTCACCTCCAAGTATCCAGCTGCATGCTGAAAACGGTATTGTAATTCTTAAGTTGTAGAGCATTAGCCTGGAGTAGAAGTGCTCAGGGACAACCTTGAGTGCACACCCTGTGAATGCCAGCTGGGACAAGCTATCCCAACAACGAATGCTGAGGAACGTTCCCCCCCCCCCCCCCCCCCAGGACAAAGTCAATCCTGACAATGGAAAATGGAGAGGAATAAGAGATGACATCCTAAATGGAGTCTTTACACTTGCTCTTTTAATCAGAGCCAGGAGATCAAGAAAAACAGTTGCTTGCCCACCTAATGTCCATGCCTGTCTACCTTCTAACTGGACAGAAAATTACTGTCTTGCCTTTGTTACCTGCTATTTGTATTTATAGTAGCCTCTGCCTGGTACTCCCAACCAGCCCATTATGCTCTCCCCTACCCAGGTGCCAAGAATACCCTAGACACCCCCTTCCTGCCCTGAGTCCAGTTATTCCTCCTTTCTTGTAATAAGCCACAACTGGGCTTATACTCCAAATGGAATGCTTCTGGCCCATGGCCAATGGGTGTTCTCCTATATCATTTATGTTAACTGACCTTGTTACCTTGTCAGCTTTTTGTCTGACCTTTCAAAAGTTTCTTTTAACAGGATAACATCCCCCACCCAGGGCACCACCTGGGAACAAGTCAAGGCCATCCTGTTACTATAGGCAACTGGAAACATCACTTACATTGCCCTGCCTTGCCCAGCACAGACCTAGACTCTAAAGACCCCCAGCTCTAGGGGACTCCTTGATACTCCCAGGCTAGCAGGAAGAAGCCAAAAGAACCCATGATACCCACTGGCTCTGGTATCTTTAAATATCTCTGCTACCTCCTCCTCAAATTACTGTAATCCCAAAGCAGGAAAAGTCTTACTCCCCCCTCCAAGGATGCCAGGAGTCAGGTACCATGCTGTATCTCTAATTTGAGACAGAAAAGGCAATTTCAGGTCTTTGATAGCCCCTTCTGGAAATAAATCCCTTCATGGCATATTTCTCTCTTGGGCTACTAACAGCAATTTTTGCCTTTTATTGTGTCTTGCATTTTAGATAACTATTGTCATGGAGAAGATGAGGACCTTTACCAACCAAACTGTCAGGCAAAATGGCTCTTGGACAGTGCTCGGCTGAGCAATGAAGCAGGGACCCCTGACTACTTCACCCCTTTACAGCAGGAAGTAGCTCCAGAAGAAATGATCTCTACCCATTACCTCCCCCCACACCCACGGCCTGGTACCCCTATTTTTATTAAACAACAAAGTGGGGAAATGTTAGCATTATGCTAATCTTTGGTTCTCAGCTCCAACCATACCTGAACTCCTCCCAGGCCCTACAGCTGGCTCCACCCAGACCCACCTGAGCATGCACCTACATGCCCTCTCCCCCCAAAACTACCTGCCATGTGCTCCTGGGAATTATGGCCCCTCTAATAAACCTTATAATTAACTTTCTTATGTGCCTGCTTGCCTCGGGGTGGTCCCCTGGGATGGATGTGAAGAATCCTTTCAATTACAATAATTAATAACATTTTCACATACTATAAATGCACACTGTGTTCAATTAGGCACAAACAGAATATGACCTAGGGTGACCTAACGTGGGCCAATACTTTTCCAGTGAATTCTCCATCTCAGTGTAACTTCAATGAAGACACAGATGACCTTATATACCATTTTATGCCTGTGAACTTACTCCATGAAGCAACTACATAGGTGCTTAGTTTTGGACGACACATTCAGTGTCTTAATTCACTTAAAGTATCACTATTTCAACAGGATTATGATGTTTGTATTTAAAACTGTTCCAATGAGTCATACTGATGTGATATTGGTAAAATGAATTGGTAAAGGCTTTGGTAACAGTACTTAAGGTGTCAGTTATTTGTCTTCATATTATACATGAAAGAAATAAAGGCCTCTGTGTTAATGGACCTGCCCTCTTGGCAGAGCCAAGAGAAGAATTTGCTTGCCTCATGTGAAATGGCTCTTTGCTTTCTACCATGCTAAAACCTGGGGTAAAAAAAATATTTAATTTTTTGCCTAGACCAGTCTAGGAAGCAAAGTCTGTTGAGTTCTTACAGTCAATAAACTACCAAAAAGTCACTTGTGCTGTGACCCAAGTGGTAGAGTGCCAGCCTTGAGTGAAAAAAAATAAGAGGCAGTGTCCAGGCACCAAATTCAAGCCCTAGTAGCAGAACAACAACAACAACAAAATAGAGGGTTGTGGCTTAAGTGGTAAAGAACTTGCCTAACAAGTTTAGGTCCTCCAGTACTGGAAATTTTTTTTTTTAAAATATTGCACAAAGTCATAATATACTTATCAGGAGGTATGTGATGTCTGTATGATGATGTGAGTTTTGATAGGTTAGTTAAGACAATGCCTTACTAGGCTTCTCTACTATAATTATTTCTTCCCCTAGTAATTGATGGATAGATAGTACAGGCCTTATAAACTCATATTTCTCATCTCTTTTGCCCATTGTTTATTTTTATCAACCACTGAAAATTGTGCAAACCAGTCACTTTATCAAGTGTTATTTTCTATTTCCATTACTCCTTTCTTATACATATCAATCATTATTACTGCTGGTGCTACTTCCTTAAGTTGCTCATTTATGAGGAAATTACTTAGTAAGAAATTACTTGTTCCTGTCAAAATTAAAATTCTATGTTTTAGTAACAATAACAAAGGTGATTCTACTACCTTGCAAAATTTCATCTAGAAGATTCCTGACACGTGGTAATCACAAAACACTAAACTCAGACAAGGTGGGCTAATTAACCAACCATGCCCACTAATTAGCAGGCACTAGCCAAGTCACTTAATCTTGTTGGTATGGCTTTCTTAAGCTCTATCAGGGGAGTGCTATCTGCCACAGCGGGTTAAACGAACGACTGAGACTTAATGAGCCTAAGACTGCCTCACACAAATGTTAGGCTCATGGTTGCCGTTCCAGAGGCTGAGTGACAGGATGTACATGTTGTGTATGTCTATAATCAGAGGGATTAAAGGTCGTGGAGCCGCGCGAGCGCTCTTGGCAAAACATGACTCCACGCAGCGCTCTTAAAGGACCACTGCACTCAGACGGGAGGCCTGGAGGCGGGGGCAGGGGCGAGGCCGGGCGTCCGTCCGGGCGTCCGGACCCCGCGCTCCCGCCGTCCGTCTGTCCGTCCGTCTGGGCGTCCGGACCCCGCGCTCCCGCCGTCCGTCTGTCCGTCCGTCTGGGCGTCCGGACCCCGCGCTCCCGCCGTCCGTCTGTCCGTCCGTCTGGGCGTCCGGACCCCGCGCTCCCGCCGTCCGTCCGGGCGCTCGGATCCCGCGCTCCCGCCGTCTGTCCGTCCGTCCGGACCCCGCGCCCCCCACCCCCGGCCGCCGTCCAGCCGCAACCGAGCCCGCGGGCGGCCGGGGCCGAGGCTCCGCAGGCGGGCGGCGGCAGCACTCACCCGGGCAGCAGGCGGGCTCCCGCGGCAGTCCGCACCGCGCAGCTTCCCGGCAGCCGTTTGCGTATCTAAGGGGCGGCCATCGCTCGGCCCTCGTCACTTCCGCCATTCAAACGCCCGCCAATGGCGGGACCAGCCGCGGGAAGCCGCTCTGGTCCGCAGTCCTGAGGCCGCCCGGAAGTGCGCGGCGGCCCGGTGCGCGCCTGAGCGCGCGTGCGTGCGCGCGCACGCAGCCTTACGTAGCGGCCCTTTATCCCTTTCACAGGCCGGGATCGGGGAACGCGCTGGGCCCCTTCTTTGCCGGTCTTGGTGCTTGAGCCCGGGGCCTGGCTCGGTGCTAGCTCTCCACCGGTGAGCACAGCTCTCCTTTGGTGGTTAGTTGGGGACAAGAGTGTCATGAACCTTCCCGCCCGGGTTGACTTCCAGCCGCGATCCTTCCATCTCGGCCTCCCCAGGACCGAGCTGACCGCGCGAGCCGCCAGCTCGCCGTGGCGGCCGGCGCCCTTGTGACGGCCTCGGGGCGTGACCCGGACGTCCTCGGGTGGAAGCGGTGGCTGGCGTGCGGCGGTTCCCAGGAAGGCCCCGGCACCCCGCAGGCACTGCGGCTGAGGGCCCGGCGCTGGCACACATCACAGACTGACCCGGGCAGAACCCGCCCGAGGATGGCGTGGTACTCACTACTGGTAAACGGCTTATAATCCTAGTGTTCTTCAGTCTACGGGGTTAGACATACCCGGGGTCAAAGGACTAAAAAGCGAGATGGGGGAGTGAGAAGTTGGCGACAGGATCGCTTTGTGATCCTGCCTTGTGGACATGTTAGAGGGAAGTGGGAAAACTGGTGGAACTCTTCAGGAAGTTAAGGAGGAACAACGAAAGCAGAAGTGGTTTGATCAGGCCAAAGAAGCCAAATACCAGGAATTGGTGATTACCTGGTTTTGAGAGATGGGGAGAAATCCAAGATGACAACCAGATTCTAGATTTGATGACAGGAGATGGGGATAACATTCCGTAAAACAGGGTGGAAAACAGCAGGTTTGAAAGGAGAAAGGAATGAGTTCGGCCTTGAATACATCCAAGTCGAGCTGCTTATGGGATATCTACACAGAGCAATGAATTCCAGAAATATTTAGGTTGCAAAAGTAGCAGTGCTTGCATCTGAGATCGAGGGGAGAGTGAAGTTGGGCGTGGTGGCACCTGCCTATAGTTCCAGCACTCAGTAGGTGGGAGGAGTGGACGTTTCAGGGCAGCCTGAGCTGCTCCTGTTTCAAAAAGAAGGAAGGGAAGAGATTAAAGGAAGGAAGGAAAGAAAGAAAAAGAGTCAAAACAGCTAAGTGAATATGGTGATGATCTCAACACTGCATATTTTGAACCATTGAGTTTTGTACAATAAGATAAATGTACCGGGAGACAAACCACAGAAAGAACTGGACTAAGAATATCAGGTGCTGGTGTACCAAGTTGTACAAGTGGATGAGAGCACTTCAGGAGAATTTGCCGAGAGAAGCAACATGCTAAAGACCACAGTAATTTGTAGGAGCTCTCAAGTACATAAAGGAGAAATAGGGTGACCCTACCTAGAAGCTGAGAGATTCAGCAACTTGGCCAAATGCACATGCATCAAAGGGCAGGACCAGGACTACAATTCTCAAATACTTGAATTTTTCTCCCCTGCTTCCCTCCCCATTTCTGTCACATGTTCCTTGAACAAAACATCTTGAGCATCAAGCGCAGATTCAGAGATGTCCATTCAGCCCTATCAAAATATATGCCTATTATATAATGTTTTGGGCAAAATTTAGTGCCAAGCTGTAATTTTCAAAAGCATCCTGCAGTTTCCCTAGTCCTCAATTTAATGGCATTTTGGAGCCCCAGTTCCACTTCTGGCTTTTTGCTGGTTAATTGGAGATAAGTCTCTCATAGATTTTCCTGCCTGGGCTAGCTGCAGACCATGATCCTCAGATCTCAGCTTCCTGAGTAGCTAGGATTAAAGGTGTGAGTCATCAGCTCTCAGTTATACTTCATATTTTATTTTATTTTTCTTTTAGTGGTTGTGGGACTTAAACTCAGGGCCTGGGTGCTGTCCCTGAACTCTTGCTCAAAGCTAATGCTCTACCACTTTGAGCTACAGCTCCACTATTGGTTTTTGAGTGGTTAGTTGGAGATAAGGGTCTCACAGGGACTTTTCTGCTTGGCTTCAAACTGCAGTCCTCAATTTTCAGCCTCCTGTGTAGCTAAGGTTACAGGTGTGAGCCACAAAAGGCCAGCCATACTTCATATTTTAAAGGCTTAAGTTGTAAAAACCATATAGAAAAATTGTGCATATTCTACTTAAGTACATATAAATAATTATAAAAGATCATACTGTTATTTGGCCACCAGCACAGATACAGGGCTGGTAACATTTTTTTTTGTTGTTTTGTTGTGCTGGTCCTAGGGCTTGAACTCAGGTCCTGGACTCTGTCCCTGAGCTTTTACTCAAGGCTAGCACTCTACCACTTGAGCCACAGTGCCACTTCCAGTTTTTTTGTTTTTTTTTTTGTAGTTTAGTGGCGAGAAGAGTCTCACAGACTTTTCTGCCTGGCTTTGAACCATCGTTCTCAAGGCTCAGCCTCCTGAGTAGCTAGAATTACAGGCATGAGCCACTAGTGCCCACCTAGGCAGGCAAGTAACTTTTAGAATCCCATTTCTTTATTACTAGCAATTCATCTGCTTTAATTGATCCAACACAAAACCCAGTGCTATTCTCTCCAATAATTATTTCCATTTACCAAAGAACATAATAGAAATCTGGACTCTTGCTATCCAAAGTGCAGACCAAGGGCTAGCAGCATCAGCATCCTTTTGGAACTTGTTAGAAATGCAGACTCACAGTCCCTGCCCTGGTATGCTGAATCAGAAAAAGAGAGAGAGAGAGAGAGAGTGTGTGTGTGTGTGTGTATGTACAAAGTGCTGGGAATTGAATCTAGGGCCTCATGCATGCTAGGCTAGCACTCTACCACCAAACTATACCTTCAGCTCAAAGATTCTGTAGTTTCACTAGCTCTGCTGACAGTCTACTTTTTTTTTTTCAAGATACATAAAAAGGCTTTATTTGCAGGGAACCAGGAATTTAATCAAACAGGCCAAATCCCGTGTCATTGTCTAACTCCTCAGATTCTTCTCATCTTTCTTCTCTTCTGCTGCAGCAGGGGCAGAACCAGCAGCAGGAGCTGCAGAACCAGGTGCAGCAGAAGCAACTACAGCCCTGTCAACAGGCACACTAACAAGCTTGCCAACACCCTGGGCCATGACATCTTCAATGCTCTTCCCATTTAGCTCACTGATTACCTTGTTAAGCTGGTCATCGTCTGCCTCTATGCCCACACTGTCCAGGATCTTCTTAATGTCTTTGGTGCTGGGGGAGGAGTTGCCCCCAAGGGCGGCCAGAAGGTAGGAGGTGACAGCGCATGTTGGCATCGACCACAGGCTTGACCTGTGCAACCTCTGCGGCATCAGGAAGCAAAAGGCAGTCTGTACATTAACACTTAAAAAACATTGCTGTACACAAGTCTCCAGGAAATCAACAATCCCTAGAGGAAATGACATTGCATTCCCTAACTGCAATCTTAATTTTTTGGATTGGATTAGGGCAGATCTCTTAGTACCAGTCTTCTATTTCCAGATTGTGTCTTCTAGAGTCAGTATTACCCATTGGTGTTTAAAGCCATTTACCATTAGACAGACTGTTTTTCCTATTATAATAATATCTTAATGTCAAAAATAACTCTGGATTTTAACTCATTGGCCAATAGGGAATCTTTTCTCTCTTATATGTCTGATGTGATAAAACTTTGGTTATTTCTTGTTCTTAAATGAGTCAAGTAGAAGTAATTGAGAATGGTTTCACCGTTTTCTTTTTGTTGTGCACCACTATCTAGAACCACCTTTCCAAGAGCTTCTGGAGCCTCTTGAGCCTGTCTGTCTCTTAAACCATCTCTGTGAGTTCTACATTTGGATCCTGCTATCTATAACTTGAATCTCTCTCATCTCCAGTCATCTTTCCCATGTTAATGATCCCCTTACCTTTAAAAAAAGATTTCCTATCTTTGTTTCTAAGGTATTACTATAGGATTCCACTTTTGGATTTTCAGATCCTGAAGTTCTTTCATAGGGACCTGTTTACCCTGCAAATTCTCTCCTTGATTTTGCTAAAAAGTTAAAGACTTCATACTCTGCCGATGGCTACCTAATAATAGTCATCAAGTTACCAGGCATAGGTCAGAAAACAAGTGTTTGTTTTCTGTACATAACCCTTCATTAACCTTCAACCCTAGTACAACCCACTGTTCTCAGGGATCTCTAAGATAATAAAGAAAACCATTACATAAGGTATGGTTTCACCAACATTTAATAGAGAGCAGAATTATCCATCATGTTCAGTCTACAGATGAGAAAAGCAGGCCAAATGGTTTCATATATATATATATATATTGGTCATGGGTCTTGAACTTGGCCTGGGTGCTGTCCCTGAGTTCTTCAGCTCAAGGCTAGTGCTCTAGCCACTGAGCCACAGTGCCACTTTCAGTTTTCTGGTGGTTAATTGGAGATAAGAGACTCACGGATGTTCCTGCCTGGGATGGCTTTGAATCACAATCCCCAGATCTCAGCATCCTGAGTAGCTAGGATTACAGGCGTGAATCATTGGTGCCTGGCTGCTATGATATATCTTAATAGAATGATGACACCTAAACTGGGAGAGAGCGAGGGAAGGGATGACACTGTCCAAAAAGAACTGTACACTTTACCTGACTTATGTAATTGTAACACCTCTGTACATCACTTTTATAATAATAATTAAAAGATTAACATATATATATATATATATATATATATATATACACACATACATAAAAGAAGGGAAGCATGTAATCTGTTTTTTTACTCCAAATCTATGGCTCTTGATTTCAACACAATTTCATGTTAAAGGGAGTCACCTGTTGTGATAGGGACTTTTGCATATTTCAAGATCTATGCTCTAATTTTATTGGCTTAAGGCATTGCTCTTAGATAGACAATGGCAACTTTTGAGGGAGCAGAGGAAGCATTTTTTAAATTGTTTTATTGTAAAGGTGATGTACAGAAGGATTAC